TCTCTACCACACACTAGTGGGCGTTCCAGCTTTCATGGTGGGCAGTAGGGGTTTGTGCCCTACTTTATAAATCACCATTACTGTGGAACCGGTGGGCAATTAGAGAAAACTTTATTACTAACAGTGATACAAAAGTGGGCGGTAGGTATAAAAAGGTTGACTACCCCTGATTTATACACTGAATACAAAATATGTAACGAAAGAGGTACAGCATTAATAAGTGTTGTTCTACAGTTTCATAGTTGACAGCTTCTACATTTGGGAAAAAAAAGAAAGTATGAGAGTGGATTGTTAGGGCAAGCAACAAAAAGCCAAGGCTTTCTAATAACTACAGCAAAAATAAATAAATAAACAAAAACAAAACTATGGGACATTCCATGCACAGTGCATCACTAGGTAATGCTATTAACAATGTTTGCAGTGCTGATAGTTTCAAAGAAGACTGGCCACATTCATCAAGATTAAGATTGTCCATGGTTACATGATACTTATGTAAGATGCCCTTTTATCCCTTCTGAATAGCAGTTCCTACTAAGGCAAACAGGAGGAGCGCTATTGCATCCATTTGTTTCTTGTGGACTTTCTATTGGCATCCTGGAGACAAAACACAGATTGTCTATTTAGTAAAGCTCTTTTTATGCTCTATGGGCTCAGCACATCTGAGTACTGATGCCATTAAACCAGCAAATTTCCTATTTCCCTTCTCACTATCTGTGTCCTGCCTCCCTATGCAGACTTTCCAGGTAATTCCTGCCTGGACGACCAACTGATCCCTTCCACATATTTTATATATTAGCAGAGGGAATATTTGGGTTTCTAAAAGTTACACTGCTTGAACTTTTAACATCTTGGCTTGAATGCATATGCACATTGCTAAGTGTACGTAACTGTCCAACTTTGCAGACAGAATCACATTTCATGAAGCAAATGTGAGCTCCTGATCCTAGCTGCCTTGTAACACTGATGTCTGGGTAGGGCACAAGTATGAGTGTTAACAAGTGAAAGGATATCTCACTTTTCTCACCCTTTTTCTATAATCCTATGCTGAAAAAAAAAAGAATATTACAGGTTTAGAAGCACATTGTGGTGAAAATGTATACAGTAGTTTTGCTTCCAAGTATCATGCTTATTACTGTTGGCTCCGTTATGCCACAACTGCAATGTTTACTCCTAATCTTTTAAGTAGGATAACATAAATAAGGCTATTATTTGGAGAATGAAATGAGGATACTTTCAACTACAGTTTACCCAAATCTCACTTTTATACTAGCTTCCAATTGTAGTTTGTCTCAAGCTTCCCAAATTCTCTGGGCAGAAAAAAATGTCTGGGCCTGTCTCACAGGATGCTTCCATCCAACCACATAATTTTCTCCCAGATCATCCTTAAAAATAACATTCTGCTAAAAATATCCTTCAGTGTCAACATGTTGTGCATTGAACATAATCTAATTTGATTCTGATATTATCTCATTTTGGTCCTCTTTTCTTGCTCATTTTCTAATAGCTACAATTCTGATCTATCTGTTGATTAAGTACAAATGTAGAATACCTTGAAGAAGAGCACTGAATGCCCCAATTGCATTAAATGCAGAGATTTATCTGGAGTTCTCAGAGCCACACAAGAGACAGAGGCCACGTATTCTTTCTTCATGCATTTTGGGTGACAATTGTCTTCTACTGTGATGTTGTAGTAGCCTGGATTTCCCCGAAGGAGGAATGAGAGGCAATTAGTCCAGTCAGTCTCTCCTTAATAGTTTTAATAATATATGCTTGAAGCAGATAGTAGAATGTTTCAGTCTGACAAGAATCTATCTGTAGGCATGGAACAATTAAAAAAAATCTCCTTGGAAGAATCATCCTGTGTTTTTCTTGGTTTTTTGGGGGATTGATATCTGCTTAACCCACACAAAGTGCTCAGAACAAGATCAGTTTGCAAGTGGGACACGCAGGCAGGGTAAGGGTAGCTCCTGAGGGCCGATCTCATTTGCCTCCAAAGCCCCTGGCATGAAAACAGTGGATTAGCTGTTTCTTTTTTATTCTCCTTGGGGCAGATCAGCATCATTTACTACTGGAAACAGGATGCTGGGCTAGTTAGAACTCAGTCTGACTTATCAGATCTGTTTTTATGTTTTCGGGTCAGAAGGGACAACAAGGTCGTCTATTCTGGCTCCCCATCCAAAAGGCAGAGCTGTAAGACAGCATTAGGAAAGGTCAACTTCTGCAACCGAAGCCTCTTAGGTACATTTCCAAAAATGCCAAAGGGACTTTGGGACTTTTGAGACAAACCAATATTATCCGGAGAGCATCAGACTGAGAAAAGCTTGGTCTAAGTCTTTACAATTTTATCTTAGTTTTCAGCAAAAGCTGGCAACGCATTTCTTGATGTGGTAGTGAGCAAATTTTTCTAAACTCCAGATCAGTGTGCCAAATATCTGGACCACACTAGATGGAAGCAAAAACAGATAGACACTAGTAATTTTGCTGTTGCCTTTTTTGCATTAGCGAAATATTATGATCAAATATTACATTAATACTTTGATTCCCACATGCAATGCAAAATCCTAACTTTCTGCTGAGCACAAATCAGCCTATTTCAAAGCAACTGCAGCAGATAGTCATATATAAGTGATATTCATTCCAGCTTGATTATCCTGTGTGTGATTCTTGAAACCTGAATTCAACAGCTGATATCCATTATGCTCACCCACACACTCAAGAGTTCCTTGCAGGAGGTCAAGATTGTTGGGAAAGTGCAAAACCACAAATCCCTTGATAAGGAAGGAAGAAGCTGTTCAGAACAAGCTGGATAAAAAACTTGTTAACTGCACGTATTACTTGACAGCTGGCAGCTGATGAAATAGAGAAGGGGTGGAAGTTTGTGCCAGGAGAAGCAAACTCAAAAGTTTCCTTAATTTATTCTCTTTTGCTTGATGCTGGACCTTTATAATCTGCACCTTAAGAACCAATCTGCTGGGCTTTTGCAGAAGATTTATAGTGTAGGGAGAGAAACAGAAGAAGCTAAAGTTGAAACTTTGCTCTGAGAAATTAGAGGCTCTGCTATTTAGCTACAGAGCCAGAAGGATTAGTGAAAGCAGCCACAGTTCTGTCTCCAAGCTCCATTTGTGCGGCAGGGACAATTTGTTCAGAGATTGTGTAAGAAAGACACGATGAGAGGAGAACAGGTGTCCAGGAAGCAGAAAACATGGCTAGGGAAAAACAAGTAAAAGAAAATGGATCCATCTTCAAAATATAGAGAAACATTATTTCAGAAGAAAGCGTATCAGGTTTATATTGTACACTGAAGCTCCCATCATTCCCTTGCTTCGTATACACATGTTCTGTGCCAAAAGCTGAACCCGTCACGCTGTTCTTATCCTGCAAATCAACACAACTGACATATTTGGCAGACTGTATTCAGTATCTGTAGAAACAAATGATATAAGACTCATTTCCTATTTGGTCAGAGTTTGGTTATCTGAATTCATTTTTGAGTAATATATTTTAACCCCCTGAAACTCAAAGGTAATTTCTCCATTAGGAATATACTTAAAGCTAACAAAAATTATTTATAAAAAAAATATTCAGAATTTTACATAAAGCAAAAAGCATCTAAAGAGAGATAGAAATGATTTCTGAACTTCTCTTTAAGAGATGTTGACAAACCCATCATCTCTACTCCCTCCTATCTCTTCCAGAAATCCATTCAACCCCATATTATATTCTTATGTTTTTCAGTCATTGAATCCATAGATCGTTATTTCATTTTTTCCTTTTTTTAGCAAAAACCATAAGAGGTTTCCAATCTGCTAAAAAAACAAAAACCCTGACCAACAAGTCAGTTTTGCCATTTCTGCTAATTCTGAGTTTTATGATCAACTCCTCCCTTGTGGGAATTTCCATATTATACTTTGTGCGTATAATAATCTTGCTGCCAAAGCTATTAAAAATCCATACATTTGGGTCCTTATATTCAAATTCTGTATTCTGGAATCTATGCACCCTAATTGCAAAACAGCAATCACCAAACAAATTTGCAAAGATTAATGTAACTGAATATATTTCAGCACTTAAAAGTATTCTAAATACTGCCTGAGAGAAGTGGAATTAAGTGGAAGTAGGCTGGCAAGTATGAACTATATATTTTATTATTTATGAAAAGGGGAAGGTGAGGATATCATATGGAGCCCAGAAATCCTGTGTCTGTTTTCTGAACTTCATCAGGTATTACTATGCATAATGCCTTTTTTAATAATAAAAATGTACTTTTGAAAATATACATAATAGAAATGCATAGAAGCTAAGAGGAGACATGTTAGCAGTTTTTCTATCTGCTTGAGGGGCTACCAGACAGGAAGGGACCAAGCTATTTTCCAAAACACCTGAAGGCCAGACAAAGAACAAGGAGAGATTTAACCTGGAAATAAGGAGAACAATCAACCAATGGAACAGCTTGCATTCAGAAGTTGTGGGAGCTTCATCACTGGAAGCTTTCAGGAAGAGACTGGACTGCTATCTGTCAGAAACGATGTAGGGTCTCCTGTTTGAGTAGGGAGGTTGGACTTAGAAAACCTACAACGTCCCTTCCAACTCTGTTAATCTTTGAATTTTAGCATATGTGAACAAATAATAAAGGCTAGATCACATAAGGCTGTTCCCATGAGGCTATACAGCACTTCTATGACTAATTTTGAAAACACAGTAGTCATTTTTAAAGTTGGTGATAGAACTATAAAGTCAGATCCCTCTGGCTGAGGAAGTGCCATGATATGGAGATGCATAGAATGAAAACTGTAAGCTGGCATTAAAGTCAGTGATTGGTTTCCTCTGTGATGGTTTGTTTAACAAAACACATTTGTCCAGGCTTACATCTATGCTAAACTAGGTTGGGCAACACTTTCCAGGAAACTTTTTGGTTTTTTAGGAGATAGCCTCTTAAGAGTGCACTGTATGTCCACTCATACATTGAGAGGAAAAGTCATGTCAATTAGAATGCTGAGCTAGTGGATTCTGACTTGTTCAACAAACCATAGTAAATTAAATCATGGCTTAGCATGGTATCTGAAGCCATTCTTGCATGCAGATGAAATATTGTTGTGTTATACAAGAAAATCTAAGGTGGGCTTGTTGTGTTGGGTTAGAAGGGTGGGTGACGTGAGTGTTATATTTGGAGAGTTTTACATTTCTCATTCTCAACCTCTATCACGTGTAAGAAACAAGCACAAATGAAATGTAAACTGTGGTGGAATTTAGAGCTGAGTTGATGGGAAGGAAGCAGCTGAAAGAAGATCCTCCCTAAATCTTCACAGTGTTTATCTGTGGTTGTGTGGTGAGCGCTTTAGTCTGGCTAGATTTCTTTTCATAGACAATCTGTAATAAACATACCACTCAGCTCCTTGTACCATTTCTTGCACCTGACATAAAATGACTCTGAGTCTTGTAGAGCACAATGTAAAATAAGATATCAGATAACAATAACAAAAGGCAGTGTAGAGACATTAAATTATAGAGAAAAGAAAGTTCTGCTTTATTATTTACCCCCAAATGTTTACTACTTCCCACTTTTATCATTTAGAAGAGACACTGACTTACTTATAGCATAAATTTCAAAGATTATTTTAGAATGTGCTGTAATAACAAAAAGAAAATGAGACATGGGAAATAAAGAAAGGTAAGTTTATTCTATGAAAAATAACTTTTTAAAAGGTCCATAATGTTAGTTATATTACATTCCAAAAAGTCCACATAAGTTAGTTAGATTGAATAATGGCATCAATGAGACTCAGAAGCACTCTAGCTGGGACACAGAATAACAAAGTGAAATTTCAAGTCTTTAAAAGTTACTGTACATGATAAATTTAGTAATGGATTATTTGTACAGCTCTCATTGTCAGTGAATGGAGAGTTTTATTTTGTACTATGTGGATTCTAATTCTTATGATAACTGGTGGGATTTAAGAAATGAAGGTTGAGAATCCCTGCTCTAATCCTTTATGGATCCATACTAAATTATTTGAGTTGGCTTCTCTTCATGGTACTTTCCTCAGATTCTTCAATTTCCTCCTTTTGCCTCTCCAAAATGTGCATAGTCCTCATTTAATTCCACCCCCTCTTCTACTTCAGCTTCTTTTTGAGTTTCATTATTTAATTGTACTAAGATGAGACTAGGAGTAGATGTTCCTCCATGACTCCAAGACATGTTGTCTTCTTCTTCCTCTGCAGGATAAAAGTGTCGTGCGGCTGACAGAAAATCATCTCCCACATCAAGAAGAATAAGCCGGTCCTGAAATTCGGATATAAAAAAATGGAAGCACAGTGAAGGTGAAAAAATACATCAAAAATATAATAAGAAATTACACAAAATCCCAATTAGCAGTAAATCATAGATTACATTACATTTCCATCTCATAAAACTGTGTGGCATAGTAAATATGAGGAGGTAAAGGTTTTGAAGTAGTTCTGGGGTGGCAGGTCTCCCAAACGTTTTGTTAAACATAGTATTAGTTTGGTTAAGTTTCATTAAACTTTTTAAAATTTGACTTCTTTAAATACTGTTCACAGTGATTCCTCCACATTTTTGGTGCAAATGGGGAAAAATGCTTAAAGGAATTCGTTTGGAATCTAGAACATTCAAAATCCTTCTTGGTGCAAGTCTAGGAAAATTAACATTTCAGAGGGATTGAAGAATTCCACTTAAATATCTCCTAAAGGAAGAGCATAAGCAAATTTTATTTGGTCATAAACAGAAGGTAATAACTTTTGATTTTTAACATGTGGTCTAGTTATCAGCAGAAGTTGAGCGAAGGATTGGAGTGATCGTATTATCACTTAATGCAATAAAAACACAATGACAAACAAACAATAATAAAATTAGTTTAATTAAGGTGATTTTTCACTGACATAAAAATGTCCTATTACATTATTTGCAAAGACTGAAATGACATATCTACATTTTGTAGAAAAGAGAGGCTACTGTAATGAAATGGAGCAGAAAAGGTTATTTTCCTCCCTTTCTGGAGGCCCACCACATTCAGGCCTCACATGGCATATACCTTCTCAATGAATTGTCTAGGCAAAACCAGAAAGGAATGGAAGCCAAAGAGGCTTTGGAGAGTTTTTAAGAAAATTCTCGGGGCTTTTACTTTAATCAGCCACAATCCTATTTCTAGCAACTTCCAATTCCCTCCCTATATGGCTTGTTAGGAACCATGACAAGAATTCCATTAGCATTGTTGGAAAAGGAAGGATTTATCCTCGTTACCAAATAATGCTTACTTTCTGCTGCTAGATGGCAACAAAGAGATCTAGAAAAATCCAAACTCTGTCATCCAGAGTTTTGAAGCATGGGTTTGGTGGCCTAAGCCCAGGGATGCCTATGGAAAGGCTGCATCAAAAAGGTCAAGATGGAAGGCCTTATTGTCAAACACCTGCCCTTTTTATGTCAGTTGCTGTAAGGATATATGGAAACAATCCTGAGATACAGAAAGGAGAGCCATAGATTGCACAACTGGTGAATGTAAAAGCTGTATCAACCCCATAGAAGGTGAGAGGGTGTGGAAATGTTTCAGAAGGAACCATTCCTAGTTTTCTGGAAAGTAAACGGAAAGGAGAGAAAAGTACTTTCAGACTTGCCTGATTCTGTTAATGTAAACTTACAATCGGTCTGATCTAAGTATAGTACATAAAATTATCTACTGCAATGTCCTACCTGTCAATGAATACTTTAGCTTCAACCACAACAATACAAGAGCACATGACTTCCGGTTTGCAAGGCTTCGGCGGTGGCAGGAATCTGCGATCGTGCACGGTTCCTGCTGCGTTCGCCGCCGAAGTGCCTCCGATCCAGCTGGATCTGGAGGATATGGTTGCCCTGTAGAGGCAACTGAAGATAGAGGAGATCCGGGTAGGGGCTTGGGAGTATTGCAAACCCCCTCCTCAGCCGGCTAAACTCCTTTTCCCAAGGCGGTGGAGCGGCGATCAGCAATGGCCGCCACAAAGAAGCCTGCAGCCGAGTAAGATTGTGCAGGAGGAAGTCAGAGAAAGTGAAAGTTTTTGGCTGAACCGGGACAACAAGGAACCTTTAAATACCCTGGAAATTTAATCGCTTGAATGATAGATTGTTTCCCAAGAAGACTGTAAAAGCGGCAGAAGAAAATTGAAAAGGAAAGTTATTTTCTCTCACTCTCCCTCCCCACGGAAATAGCAGATGGAAATCTGAAAAACCTGCTTGGGCACAGAGGTAACTAAACTTGAAATTTAAAGCCAAGGGGATAAAAGATTTCTGAACATTGGAATTAAAAACTAATTTTTTTTGCTATAAGTGGGAGGGAAGAGGTAAAGAACTTATTTTAAGATTGTACTGAAGGAGACTGCTTGGAGTTTATAAGACCAGAAATAAATGGCAATAAGACTTCTAAAAAATTACTTTGGAACTGTGTAATTGAATTCTACCCCAGGAAGAGAAAATATAAAAAGAAGAAAGTGCTTAAATGAAACAGTTTGTTCTGATTTGGATTGCTTTGTGACTTTGGGATTTTTCGGAACTACTTCTTGAAAGATTAAAAACCTTTGGGTTGTTCTTAAAAAAATGGCATTATCTGTTGAAGAATTGCAAATGGAATTTCAAAAGCTAAAAGAAGAAGAACAAGAAGGCAAGGGCTCTTCTGGATCTATTTTTCACTTTTTAGAAATGGTGATTTCTACCTACCAAGAAATAAAACAACAAGAAGGCTGGGATGAAGAAGAAGAAGCCATCTTTAATGGACAAATAATCTTAGCTGAGGAAGAAAAGAGAAAGGGGGGAAAGACAATGGAGAACTCGGAACTTAAAAAAGCAACCAAGAAAGGGAAAAATAAGATGAAAAATTGATACAATGTCAGAAAGCAACAGAAAAGAGAAATACAACAGAGAGGGAAGATTAAGAGAGTGGAGTCTGAGAGATGGGGGGGCAAAAAGGCTAAAATTGATAAGAAAGGAAGGGAAAAAGGAAAGAGAAGTCATAAAGGTTTAAAACAAGATGTTAAAAAACAGGTTTTTTTCAGAGACAAGGGGTAAAATATAATTTTAAAAAAATGATTCTGCAAAAGTACATAAGACTATATTGTAGATACTAGTATTTGAAATCGAGTTAGAAAACTGAAATATTATATGAGTTAATAATGCATTAAAGGGAATGTATAAAAACGTTTAAGATTTAACAATAGAGTTTAACTTCCTATGGAATATTGTTTTTACTATATTATAAACTTAATTCTCTTTTTTTTGTTTTATTATTCTAAAATGTAGTACTTAGAATGTACTAAGCAGAATCAGTATGGAAAGTATGTATTATTTTAAGTGTTAAATTTAGGGGAAAGATAAAAAGTTGTCATACTTCAACCAGTGATAACAGGAGAAATATTGTATTAGAAAGAAAAGATAAATAGATAATTGAAAGAGAACGCACAAAAGATGCAAGTATAATTATCTAAACTGAGATGAAATAAATAAAATAGAATTAAGAGAGTGAATAGAATAGTGAAAATATATAGAAAATATAGAATGTTAAATAAGATATGAAATAGTATATTAAGTGAGCATGAATTTGATTTATGTCTGTACAAAAAGATGTAACCCGGGGTAAGCCACTTTCCAAAAAGCAGTTTTATGTATTTATGTTTTGTGTTTTGTTTGTCTATGTTTGAATTAATCAAACGCTAGAAGAATGTTGGAAGAGAATAACAAAATTGTAAGTAAGACAGATGGATACAATGAATATATATAATCCAAGGCAAAAGAAATAAAATTGAATAGAAAGAAAGGGAGAAATAAAGAGAAGTTGGGAAAAGATATGAAGTTGAACAGATAAGATAAATATACATATTAAATTGTGCTTGTATGGAAATGTGATAATTTGGAATTATCCTGTCTTTAAATAAGATGTTTCATTTGTTTTTCAGAAAAGATGTCTTATGTTATTATATTCTACGTTTTCTTTGTTTGTGTACTGTTTTTAAAAATTAATAAAATTTGTTTTTTTAAAAAAACAATACAAGAGCACACAATAGATACAAATGAAAGGTAAACTGCACCAAACTTGATTGCAGGAAATATGACTTCAGCAACAGAGTGGTCAAAGTCTGGAATACTCTACCTGACTCTGTGGTTTCTTCCCAAACCCCAAAAACTTTAACTTTAGACTGTCTACTATTGTGCATAAGCGCACCAACGTGCCTACTATCGCTGTCCTATTGTTTCTTTATTTGTATCCATTTCATGTATTCATAACCATATTTATACTTATACCTGTTATTTAATACTTGCTTGACAAATAAAATAAAATAAAATAAAAAAATAAAAAAAAATAAAAAAATAAATAAAATAAAATAAAATAAAATAATAAAATAAAATAATAAAATAAAATAAAATAAAATAAAATAAAATAAAATAAAATAAAATAATAAAATAAAATAATGACAGTTAGTACCCCTTGGGCTTCCTGTCAGAATGGCCTTGCAGGCTAACAGTTGCACAGGCAATGTATATTAAAAAAAGAAAAAGGCACAGGGCTTCAGTTATAAGTCCCGGCCACCATTTTGCTTTCTTTGACTTTTGCAGAAACATCACTGCTTACCCCAGCCTCCCAAGAGCAGGACAATGGCAGCTGAAAGTAGAATTCCTCTCAATCCCACCACCCGATGTTTGTCTCTTTCTTCCTTTTAATATCCTCATTGCTTTCTTTTTCTATCAAAAAGGGTACCTAAACTTGGACCTTGAGATTTCTCTTGTTATATTTTGCAATAATCTTTTATAAATACATAATGTAACATAATGTAACATAACAACATAAAACATAATATACATAACATATATTTGTGTTCCACAAATAATGATTTCAGTTAGGTTGCTGGTAGCTTAAGGATTAATTCTTACTGCTATTCATATGACCTTCTTGAGGATGAGAGAATACTGCAGTAACAACTCTTGTTAAAGTTGCCCCAATGTCTTCTAACATTTATTCACTTTAAAATGGATTGCTTTTGCCTCAGCCCACCTTTCAAAATATTTTTTTCCAGGCCATGAACCACAAAGTACATTAGAAGGAATCAATTTACATTGGCTCTACATTAGGTTAACCATTGTGGGAAGACCTATATCAAGTTCCAATTAATTAGGAGAGATGCAGCTGCTGTTCTCACCCTCCAAAATAGTTTCTGTGATGCTGTGAGTAATATCCAGAGCCGCTTCTGACAGGGCACTGTCTAGACAGTGTATTCTCTACAATTTCATCCCTACTCACCAGGACAAAGAGATATCTCTCTGGTGGACCACCATGGTGATGACCAAAAATTGATGTCTGTTCAGCCAGGATAGTGTGGAGTCTGCGGGCCTCTTGAGGATTGTGGAGAGATTCATAAGGAGTACAGGAAGTTACAGTGAGTAGGCCATCTGCTTCAGCTTTGAATCCTGTATTGAGAAAATATGATTAACCCTCATATTTCATTCACAGCTATTCAGTAAATGATCTTCTATTGTATTTATATGCACTGCCAGAGAATTCAACATGAAAATGCACATTCAAACAAGTATACAAAGTTATTTCACTAAATTTCAGATTGCAATTTAGTCATTCTTGAACATATAAAAAGCTTTAATTTGACACCAAGGGATCCTCTATAATCAATATGCTACAAAAGAAAAGGCTTTGTACAACGTAATCACCATCTAACTTTACTGCTATAAAACAGTAAAGGGGCACCAATCAGAGCATCAATTACAGACAAAAAAATGATGTCTGCCATCCTCCATTTGTATTAAGATCAAAAACAGTTTTCAGTGCCTTTCCTGAATCCAGGGACATGGAAGAAGGGTTGGTGGGGGAATGACATTTGTGGTTGAAAAGGTCCAAAAAATCTCTACCTTAAATTTTCAGTGCCACGTTACTCAGGGAAAATATAAGCAAAAAGCACTAATAGAAAGTGTTTAGACTAGGATAGTCCTGTGTAGTTGAAATTTTTACAAGTCCATCTTCCACTTGTACCCAAGTCTTACAGAACCCAAGAATGAAGCTACTGAAACATGGATCCCCCTAAATTCAATGGGAGAGCCAATTTTATGTAGCGGTATCTGGAAACAAAAGCATCAGGAAACTATGAGTTCTAGTCCAGCCTTAAGCCTGAAACCAGCTGGTTGACTTTGGGCCAGTCACTTCTTTCAGCCATAGGAAGAGGACAATGGCAAAACATTTACGAAAGACATTGCTAAGAAGATGAAGAGACTAGTTCAGGCAGTTGCTAGGGGCCAAGCCTGATTTCAAGATGGACACAGATACAAGCCAATGGAGGGAAATTCTACAGTAATTTTTCGTCAGGCAGCCCAAATTTAGCATCAGCTTAAACCTTGAGAAGCAGGGGAATTTCCCCCCCCAGGCTTAAGTACTTGCTTAATCATTGTTCTTTAGATCAATTTAAACACACACAGAGACAAAGAGAAAGAGATAGGCAGAAAGATAGACAGATAAAGTTTACTTAAAGATTGCCACATTTATATCACTACTTTTCTGTCTCTTGATCAGGGATTCCAAGATCTTTTTTTAGCTAACAGATTTTGTGGTCTGGAATAATTTGAAAATTCCTGTTTCAATTATCAAAGCCTATTAAACCTTGCAATACTGTATAATAAGGGAAAATTCCATATAGTCTATTTAATTCTCTATTTTTTTTAATAACAACTTTTGTGGGATGAAAGCCCTTCAAATAGCCAAAATACATAGAACCCTTCTTTCCATAGATTTTTCTTTTTTCTTTTTGTCAGAAAAATCAATCTTTATCTTACTCTTACTGGGTATTTTATATTTAAATCTGAAACAACAATCTGAAACAACAGAAACAGTATCTGAGGTTCTGCCTATAATTTTTAAATTTTCCTTTAGAATAAAAAAGTATACAATAGTTAAATAAATTAACTTGAGACATAGCTCTAACCAGAAAAAATGTTCACTATCAGGACGCTTACCTAAGACTTCCAAGATATGTTTCCACCGATCCTTTATCTTTTGACGGATCTGTCGGTGGGCAATGATGTCAAAGCTCAAACGTCGGTAACCCTTTATCAGAAGAAGGAGAACAGAAAAGAAAAAAGAATTCCTAAACTATACAGACCAGTAAAATACAAGCTCTTATAGGGGGCATATTTAAGGGCTGTGACTTTCAATTAACCCTTATACTTATTTGTATAGGAAAAAAGAGCATATGATTGATATGAATAGTAATAATACTTTTACTTCTAATCCACCCAATAATTGAAATTTTTTGGATTAACCACAATTGTTAGACCTACTCTTTAAAGAAGAGTAACCAAAATACAATCAAATGATTATTACATGCCATCAACTCATTGCTGATTCTTAGTGACTACATAGATTTTCTCCATGATGATCTGTCCCTCACCTTGTCTTTCAGGTCTTCCAATAGCACCACTATTATTGAGTCCATTCACCTTGATGCCCATCATCCTTTTCTTTACTTTCCTTCCACATAATGCAAAGAACATGTTCCCTGTAGCTACCCACTTTGCTCCACTTGTTGGAGACCTCCACTTGCTGGAGAAGTGCCTCCAAAGATGACAAAAGCAACCATACTGAAACATAGCGCATTCCTTGAGATACTCTGCTCCTAATCTATGCAGGGTTTCAATACTGAAATCTTGAACCAGGAGGCCCAGAAAGAGAATGGGAGTTAAACAATGAATCCAAACATCATTATCCCTTTCTGATGATGTTTTGATTATTAGATTTTTCCATCCTTCTTCCATCCACCTGATATTGCTAGTAGCAATGAAAGTCATCAAGTACCAAGTCCACGGGAAAGTCATAAAGATAAAGATGTTAGCCACAACCATATAACACATAACACATGTGTGATGACCCGGGGTGTGGCACAAAAGCAACAAAGTCACAAAAGTAGGTAAAATCCCTTTAATAGCTCCAACTTGGTCCCCAATGTCCAGTTATCATTGGCTGGAGAAAAAAACTCTCCCAAGAAACAGTTTTTAAAGGGAAGAAATTCAGTCCAAACCTGAAGTACATATAAATTATAAATAAAAACCAACACACACCACGCTGCAGCAATTAACGAGACAGGGCAGGATAAGGAATAGCAGACTTCCCAAATAAACATTGGGAGGACACCAGAACCCAGATAAGACTTGACAAACCAAAATAATTAATGCTTTGCTTCCAGCATATTACTGTGCGCAAACACCCTTTTTAAATCCTGTTTTCCCAACAGCAGCTAATGAAGGGAATCATGGCCCTTTTCTCCCCCATAACCTACGTAACTTGTGCTGGTCCCTTCTCCATTCCTCCCTGTGTGCCCTAGGATGAAGAGGGGGTGGCCCTGGGTCTTCCTTTGAATGCCCAGCCAGACTGTGTCCTTCCCCAGTTTCTTCCACAGCCACCAGAGCCACAACCCCACTCCCTGTCAGCTTCTTGACCTCTCCCTTGGAATCAGATTCCAACAGGGGCATGACAACGTGTAAAGTGGGCTTTGATTACATGTCTGTGGGTCAACATCTTTCTTTCACACACCCACACCTTCTGCCAGACACCTCTGCAATGAGACCTCCATACTCCAGATCTGTCTGGACCATTTTAGAATGTAATGCATCTGGAGCTTAGTTTATTATTTTTATATTCTACTTTAGGAGGAAATACTTGTCTGTTTAGGTAAAGTTACAGTTCTCAGGTGAAATCAAGGCCAATTTGGTAGAAAAAAATTAGCACCACTTCCACTCTCCCTTGTAGCATTGTACAGCATAGTGTTATTTAGCTACAGTTTCAGAGCTCTGAGAATGAGGAGTACGGTAATTAAAATCACATTTCTAATTTTTATGAGCTCTAGAAGTCATGGACAAAACAGTTCATGGAATGATAACACAGCAAACCCAGCCGTAACTAGATGTAGCCACAAGCATTTTCAGAATGATCTTAAAAAGTCCAATTTATGCTTTTATTTTTACCTTTTTTTTCTTGGCTCAAGGCAGCAATAGCATTTTTTTTAATGAGCATTCTTGACACACACTTCACCACTTTCACACAGAGAACACAACACAAGAAACTATTCACTATATCTGCCAATATATCAAGCTACATGTGGTTGAATTCCACATCATTAAATTCAACTCCATATGAAAGAAAGAGCTCCAACTGTTGTGGGCCACTTACCTCTGACCCACGACACATTTTTGATCTTTTCTCTAGAAGCTTGTGAAGCTCATGATCATCCCCCCGCTCCACATGAGCAGAGTCTGCTGGTTCATTCCACAAGTTAGCTGCCTCTAATTGCCGCCATTTCCGTAACTTATTGAAATACTGAAAGGTGTCACTGCAATAGAAAGTGGAAAAGGTTTTCAAGGTTTTCTTTTAGAGGGAAGTGTAAGGGGAATCCATAGCAATGCATTGTAATGGAATTATTGAAACTAGCCTAGCCTAGTCTTTTCCATGGTGTATCATTTATCTCATCCAAAATATTTAAAGGCTATAGACCTTGCACAGACTTTTCAGGAGACTGAGGGCTTTGTATATTCAGATATATTCAAAGCTATGTCTGGGAATTGGATCTCAGACATGGCTGCTGAATTGGGATTCACAAACTCTTGTGGCTTCACATTTTCTAGTGGATCCATCACCATTCCTCTGGAGCAGTATTTTACACCTTGGCAACTATGGAATCCCAGGATTGCTTAGCCAGGCAACACGTTTGAAAACAGACAAGGAGAGAACTTGAGATTGCCCACAAGTGCTCCAAATAGCTGCTCCTCACAAGGAGACTGCAAAATAACTGCCTCTACCTGGTTTAGAGCCCTGGAAGAAGAAGCTTGCTCAAACAATGGTTGGCACCTTCAAAAGGATGCAGGGCTCATATACTTCCTTTTCTAATAATTTTTTAACATTGCTTGTTAACTATTTTTCAACTATCAGGAAGCTTTGGATCAACAAATCTGAAAAGATTGGATGAGTTTCCTTTAATTGTTAGTGAAAGAAGTTTAAATACAACTTTTATTTTTTAAACATCAAAAGGATAATTAGAGCTTAGATTTTGGAACGCTACAAACAAAATTTAAAATTTTGGAATTAGTAATTTATTATTGCATCAGAATGCTTCCCATTGGAAAATGTTTTGGTAACCCAGTAGGCTAACCAGAAGGAGGGAGCACATTCCAAGGAGGGGTGTGAGATAAGAGCAAACATGGCCCAAAACTGGGTTATAGGAAGAGGATAAGATTTAGGATAACCACTTCCTAAAATCTCCAGGATACATCCATTGGGTAAGGGTAGTATAAGATTAGTCTGTCAAGATTGAATATGTAATCAAATAAAGAAAAATTTGGCTGGATTGTGTAACATTGTTCTTTGGCTAAGCGTGACATCTTGTTTTGAATTCTTTAAAAAATAAAGATTGAATAGGACTTTGAAGGTTAGACACTAGAGGTAACTAGAAGGAATTATGATTATAATTAAAGGAGAACACTTAGAGTCAACTTGCAAATACAGAATGAAGCAAAATATTTTGATATTGGACATGCCACCATAATGAAATTAATTTCAAGAGATTAAGAGATCAGATCCTGTTGAAAACAGGAACAGGAGAAAACTGCCTTGAAGCTAAGTAAAAGCACTCACAGATGCTGTCCTATTTATACTAATAACAAGCCATTACTTTATGCAGCCCAAACAGCAGCTTCAGAAGAGATAAACAAACATCCCCAAGGCTGCAGAAATATTGCTTTTATTTATTAAACAAACGTATATAGTAGCCCATCTCCCAAAGGAACTCTGGGAAGCAAACGAAATAAAAATATAATAACATTAAAAATCATTCAATGCGATAAACTGTGCTGAGGTCTGTTAAAAACTTCCATCCATCCATCATCCATTAGAGGTCAAATCCTATCAAATCCCGGCCCTTAGTGCCTGGAGGAAAAGAACAGATCTTCACTATTTTCCTGAAGGCCAAAAGGGTCGGGGCCATTCCATAAGGTAGGCACCATAACACACAAAGCATGCTTCTGAGGCTCAGTAGGTGACACTGCTTCATAAATGTACTCAGAGCATGTCCAACCCTGCCAAATTTACAGGCAGAAACCATTGGAAGGAGGTAGTCCCACAAGTCATCTGGCCCCATGCAAGTACAGGACATTTTTGTCCCTTGCTAAAAGCATAGAAAAATATAGGGATGGGATCAGCCTAATGAGAAAATAACATGTTGAATACAAAAAGTTGTCCTTCGGTTAGAATTAGAGGAGACACAGAAAACAACGGGAACAAGCAACAGAACGGACAATGCTAGAAAACTCCTGGAGATGGATCTAAATATTCCACTTTCCAGCATTACTTTCAAAGCAAAAGATTTGCAAATTTGTACTATTGCAATCATATTTATGGAACCTTGAGATAATTGTGAAATGCTGAAATACATACCCAGTGATCAACGAATTCTTCTCCAATTCATCTTCGTTGTGGTAACAGCAACAACACACTTGGCCCAAGAAATCCATGTCACTTGGAAAAGCTGCAGATTATAAAATATGCCTTTAACTAGTATATCAGAGTATATGATAGGGATAACAGAAATTGCAAAAAAAGGCAAGGAAGTTTATATTTCTTTTTAAATACTGCCTGACAGTCATAAGCAGAGATCATGTGAAATGTTTCCTTCAATCTTCCATAGCTTAAGGCATTTGAACAAAACATGCAAAATTCAACATAATATATTGTGGTTTTGGCATTTGGCATGGGAAGAAGAGTACGTTCATTTTTATTATCTTCCTCAAGACTTATTAAAGCCGTATTAAATAATGAAGTGCTTCTAGGAAGCAGTAAGTCACTTATCTAACCTGGTTGGAGCCCCTGACTTGATTGTGTATTCCCTTAATTTTTTAAAAATGGAAGAGTTGCCACGAACCTCACTTAAACTCCATGGATATAATTAGAAAATAAAAATACAAGGAGGCTGTACGTCCATGTTTGTCAGGAAATGTACCTCACCATACAAAAGGTAAACTAGGATAGTAAACAGTGAGTAATTACCTTATTAATTTGACTTTTAGAACATGGGTTTTTAAATGAATTGTCATTCCACAAATTGGTGGCCAGTTTCTGACAGTGTTCTTGACACTCAAAATTACTGATGTCCCCAAAGACTTCTGGATCAAAGAATTAGCCTAGTTGTGAGATATCTTGTAATTTTTTAAAGACAAAATACCCAGTATACCCAAGACAACTGACTAATGGATGGGACTCATTTCATAACCATGATATGATTGGTATGAAACTGTAATCCTGGCCTACCAAAACAAAAGTGAACATAATTTCTGAGATCAAACATTGTGTTTGGTATCAATGCTTGGTTTCAATGGGGGTTTTGTGCCAAGCAAGAATGCCTAAGCTAGAGAATTTTCTGCCTTGATAGCTTTGTCTCAAGTTTTTTAAAAATGGCTTTTCCCAGTTTGGCTCCTTTCAGATGGAATCTTCCAGTCCTGGCCACTTCATATTGGCCTACAGGCACCAAGACATCTGGAAGTCAGGTTGCAATAAAAGTTATCTAGCTTCAATAACAAAATGAGGATGAATCACATTCCTTCAGCTAAAATTTAACATCCTCAGAAGTGCAAGAAACCACTTTTTTTAAGTGACCTTTGATTATATCTTTGTGATATCGCCACAAATACTTATAATAAAGCAGGTTGACGGGACAAAATGTCAGTTAAATTCCTGTATTGGTTTGGGATATTTTTCTCTTTGTTCTAGGCTATAGCTTATGGTTTATATACAAAGCACCAGCAAAACACTTTAGATTTAGAATTTTAGTTTCATATGATTGGATTGTTACAATGCTGCATTCTTATAGCTAAGAAAATAGGAATTTATAAGAATCGAAATGAATGAAACTTCTAATTTCAATTTTAATTGCAGTCAATATTTCACAGTAATTTTAATAGTTGTAAACTTTGATTTAATAAGACTACTTTGGGAGTCAGAACTCTTATTTGCTCTAGGATTGTTTTATTATCTGTATTTTGTTACTTTTAAACAAGAAAATAAAAACTAACAGAGACTAATACAATATAAAAAAAGAAAAAGGATGTAAGTGGCTTCTGATAGTCTTCACAATAGTTTTAAGTACCAATATATTTTAACCTCTATTCTTAAAGTTACATCATACTATTATTCTTTTTATAATCTATCCAGTCGAATCATCAACCCATAAATTGCAAGTTCATTTATGTGCAAAAAGTTCATTAAAGGCTTCCAGTCACCATTAAATTTTGATGTTTTTTTCTCTAATTGAATAAATCAATGTATCCAGTTCAGCAAAATGTAGCAAATTCAGCTTCAACAACCATTGCTCATAGTGGTTGGTGTTGAATCTTTCCATCTGTGCATATAATAATCTAGCTGCAGTAATCATATATTGAAATAATCTTCCATAGATTCTTTTCTGTTTAGCCACCAAACGGAAAAGCACTGGCTTCACTGAATGTTATTAATAGGATTCTTATTAAGTTGTTACTAGGATATTTCTTAATAAGCAGCTGTTCTTGTAGGTTACAATCCCAACATATTAAAATGTTTCTCATTTCAAGAGCTATGGTTACTTTTGAGTACTAAGGCAGAAAACCTCACATGCATTTTTCTTCCTCCTATTTGTTGGACAAGTGCCAACAAAATTACTCGTTGTCCCTTTCATGATAGCCAAATCGCTTATATAGATAGCTCCATTGGTTTTCTCCATTCTTTGAATTAATTTCAATTCCCACTTCTGTAGGTTCACACTAAAATCTCAGGCAATTCTGTCTTTTAACCAGCCAGCATCCAGCTTAAACAAAAATTCTTGCTCACAGAAGTGGCTTGTTTGCAGCACAGAACTTTAAACTGCATTCCTAAAGAAATTCTGAATTTGGACGTCATATTGTTAAGTAGCTGGCAAGCTCTATTATGTTTAGCAAACAGTTTTCATGTATAAGCCACAAAGTGAGATATCAAAATAGGTAACTGGTCTTAATTGAGCTAATAACCACATTAATTTACATTTAAAAGGCTAATAATTTATTAAAGCATAGTTCTGTGGCCTGTATTTTACACATTAGATCATTTTGTGTTTTTTTCAAGGCACCACAAGGGCCTTTGTTGTTTCTTTCTCATAAGATTATTTAAATGCAATAAATAAAGAAAATCTCAGATATGCTTATGCTAGATAAATTATAACGGAACAGGTGTGTATTTATGAGAAAGCAGACTTTGGGTCATGTTTTATATATATAAAAACCCCACTAATTGCATAACACAGAAAAACAAAAAAAATATTTAAAACAATGACAACAAAAATTAATTTAGATTAGATTAGCAAAGCTGAACGTAAAAAGATACATCAGGCTTAAAGAAGTACACATTGAGACAGTAAAGTTTTTATTATTACTTTATTTGATTAATTCTCAAATATTTGAAGCAAAGGCATGTTTTTTAATTGAAGTGGCTTTTTAAATGAGGCGTAAAGGCAAAGAAATCTGTTAGATTTACAAAGAAGTACAAGCCACTTCCCAATGATATCCAGAATGTGTAAAATTAACTGAAGGCATTTAAATAAGATTACTAATCCTTTGAAATGAGAATATATTCACATATTGCATGATGGTGCAGGTTATTTAAAAAAATCAAGAAAATATTTTTGAAGCAGCTTCTTGTTTATGACTTTCCTTATTCCCAGAGATGATAGGCAGTAAGATTTCGCTTCAATAGTGATAGGCAAGATATATATAAGACAGATGGAACTGTTAGTCCGGTTCATATCCTAAAGCCTTTTCAGGACCTGAATTTATTAAGGAATCATCTTGAAAATAAATGTTGGGATAAGAAGATGGACCACAAGTATCCACTTTAAGGAAGCACAATCCTCACGGTCTGGTGATAACCCTTGTCTTTGCTTTAAGAAGGTCCATTCATTATTATGGCAGATCCAGCACACGCCTCATGATGTTGTCAGGGCAAGGAAAAGAAGCAGGTAACAAGGTGTTTTCAAGTAAGCTTTTCTTGCACTTAACATGCATCCTTGAAAAACAAGGCAGCTTTGTTTGGGTATTTTCCCACGTCATTACAGTTGTACTTTTAAAGTTGTAGCAACTTTTTGGCAGAATCTCATCTGCCATCATCAGGCTTCTGTATTGTGTTCGTCTGCCGAAACGTTGCTACAACTTTAAAAGCACAACTACAATGACGTGGGAAAATACCCGAACAAAGCTGAATTATATATATATATATATATATTGACCTTAATTAACAAGTCCTCCAGCCTACTCATTACAGGATGGAATATCATAATCAAACTATGAAATGTCAGCCACTGTAGAAGGTTCAGTTCTGCAGACAGAGATGGGGGCCTTCTTCACATTCTCGGAAAGAAGGAATTAAAAAAAAAATCATGATAAAACTAGAACAGCAGCTCAGAAAGACAAATTTGAAGCATAATTCTAATCCGTGTATTCAATGGAGATAGTGGGAATTTCATTTCCTGAAACCATCACCTCTTCAAGGACACATAGTCAAATTATGGTCACACCTTTGGGCAATTCAGTCCTCTGTCTTGAAGGGATACATCATTGTTTAAGAAAAGGAGGGTCCAGAATTAATACAACAGTGATTAGAAAATTATCTGGCTTATTCTGCAGCACTCCAATGACTTCATATGCAGGATTACCTGATGGTACTCTTCACATTTGGATGTGTTTATGAGTTTATATTAGTCAGAAATAGTATGACCATGTCAAGGGAGAAAAGAGGGACAGATAGAAGTATTAGGGGTTAAGCCACAGGACTTTGCGATTACGTTTATGAATTAATTTGGCACAAAAACTGCAATGTTAACTTTGATCATTGGCAAGAGATCTCAAAGATTTTGCCCTAATTTTTCTCTTCAATATGTTCTGTTTTGAACCATCAACCATCTTATCTCCTCTTCCTGAGTCTATTCATTGACATCACTGGCCACAGGCTCATTTTTCATTTTTATCCTGAATGACAGCTAAATATTTTTTTTCAACTAGTAGGAAGAAGTATCCACTTCTTTGGGCCTTGATAGGTTCACAGAACATTCAAAAGGCAATGTTAAACCAAGTTTTAAGAATTAGATCTTGATGTGATTTCCATAATTCTTTTACGCAGGTGGAACATAAATTCTGTCATGGTGGCACTCAAGCTTTGGTTAATTAGATATCGGGGAAGCCGACCCTATAGGACAAAACAAGCAAATCAAAACATATAAATTTAATGTTTATATATTCTAATTCTTATTGGTCTTGTCTAATCTAGTCAAATTATCAAATATTTGGTACATAATTATAAATATTTGGCCTCTTAAGATAGAGCAAGATCTTTCCCAGTTCTGCCATCCATCTTCAGTTTTACCTGAGACATTACTGAGTAAATGAGGTTAACCACAAACTGTGGTTATTCTCTCTTTTTAAAATGAACAAAACAAAGAATCCAGGAACTTACTTTGTACAACTATGTCTGTCTAGTTCAATTTCATCTACACTAACTTCAAGCAGAACTTCAATATTTCTGGCAACTTTTTTTGTCAAGTATATTTAGAAATGAAATCTACAACATTTGGCATACAAAGCATAGTTTCCCATCACAATATAGTTCCATTTCTAATCATAAGATTATAATAATGTAAGCACTGTGATGGGGAAGATTGCAGAATTGAGCTATTATTGGGTTCACTTAAACAAATAATGGCTTGTTTATTAGAGAGGCCATAGATTAACACCACCAATTTCTCCCATGATTCTCTAAAAAGGAAACTACAGCAACAGTAACTGGAACTAAACAAAACTAACCTGGGAACTAAAAACTTCCATTGCAGGAAACTGAATCCAAGCCATATAGATAACTTTATATTTTATATAGACTTTGTAATCAAAGTACTTTATGGATATCATAAAATATCTATATTGTAGATTAGAATAGCACTTAGCAATAGCGCTTAGATTTATATATTGCTTCATAATGCTATACAGCCCACTCTAAGCTCTTTACAGAGTCAGCCTATTGCCCCCAACAATCTGGGTTCTCATTTTACCCACCTCGGAAGGATGGAAGGCTGAGTCAACCTTGAGCCGGTGAGAATCAAACTCTTGGCAGTGAACTGAATTAGCCTGCAATACTGCATTCTAACCACTGCACCACCATGGCTCCTAGACTCATATTACCAATTAGAATGAAAATATCAGTGGGACATCATTTTGCAAAATACCTGAGAATTGAATTAATCTGTGATATTTATACATTACTGAGTCTCCTAGGAACTGCAGGAAGTAAAGTATGTATTACAACAGAATTTGGTTGTTATACAATCCATGTAACATTCTGTTCGGTATATCCCACAAACACCAAGGAGCCAAAGACAATGCAGTAGTAGTCAGCCAGTTGTGTTGAAAAATTAATATTAGAGTACAGTAAAGCACAATGGACCAATTTACAATTATAACCTGCATTAAATCAAGTCCTAGAAAGATAAAATATGCTTTACCTTAAGGTCCGTATTGAGTATCCAGAACAAGGTACAAAGATTTGGATTGGTGGGACATTTCAGGGCAACAAAACCTCCTGGGCCATTCTCTGCTCTGAGAAAAGCCAAAAGCATAAATAATGTTGGAGATATACTGACAGAGCAGAAAAAATTAAGATAAAATTTAGTTTAATGGCAGACCAATCTTTGAACAGAAAGGTTCAAGGCAATGTACACTTACATTATGAAAACAAATTAGGCATTATCACTATCATTATACCCTTTTGATTTTAATGATGTCCTTTGAGAATCATTAATTGATTTAGTTCAGGTGCAATCCCACCTCCAACTACTTAAAACTAGTACAAATAAGCTTCTGGCTTAAGAGCTTAAGTGACCTTACGAACATTCCATCAATGGAGTGCTAAAGAGGGCATCAACCACTTTGAAAACGGGACACCCAAACTACTTCAGATGGGAAGGCAGCTGTCAATGATACTGGGTCCAGGCCATACTATTGAAGATTTTGCAAATTTATTGATTTCTTTTAAGATCTATAAGCTGCATTTCATGGGAAATTAGTTATGAGCAAGCCACCAACCACAGGAACAGTGCCAATTTGCATTGGTTACGCCATGCCAATGCATTTATAAATAAAGCATTATTACAGAGTTGTCCATAAGTCCCAGTGTTCTTTCAACCAAATGAATCTGGACCCCATGATTGCTTAGACTTCTCACCATGAAAGATGCCCTTCAAGGCATATCCCACAAATTTAAATACTGAGAAAAAAAATGAGTGAAAAGATGCCAGTTCTTTTCTGTTTGATGTCTTGACAACAGATGCAAACAACTAGGGTTTTTTTTTAACTGAGCATTTTGAATACCAGAAACTCAATTTCCTTGAACAGGAAAAAGATACATAACACTTGATAATCTACCTTGACATGTGAAATGAACACAGTCTCTCTCATATATCTTTCCAATTGCTACGCAAATTCTGAGTTAAAGGCCAATGATGTTTTAATGTTATTACTTAGAAAAATAAAGGTGGTTAACAAAGGCACCCTGACTGGTTACCCGAGGCAGAAGGCAATGACAACAAAGAGGCCTTGTTGGAAACTACTCACAACTGGAGTTTGCTCATCACAAGACATTATCTACTAATTGCCCGGAAAATGCTTTTATGTAGGAAGCTCTGAAATGCACCGTCCCAGGGGGTGGCTTCTGCATTAAAGTCAGAAGGTGTATCTTATTCATGCAGCCTTCATTACAGGCACACATGAAAGACCACAGAAACTATTCTGAAGGATGAGTGTTCCATTTGTTTTACCACAAGGAACTCTATAGACTGCTGATCTAAAAGTCTGAATTCCTGCTGATAAAAGAAAAACTCCAAATTTCTACTATTCCAGGAAGCAGAAAACTGAATACTTTGCCTTTTCTCTAAATCTGGCCAAGACCACCATTGTGGCAAGTTTCAGTTAACTATATAAACGGAACAGGGTATCTGAGTAAGAAAGGTCTACAGCTATCCTGAATGCCTATTTTAAAAATTCCTTTTCGCTTTGAAGAAGAATAAAAAAACATGAGTCCAACTATCTTTCAGAATTTTTGGAAAATATTTGGAATGGGAATTTTGGTCTTTGTTTTTAGAAATACTTTTCACATATATGACTTACAATTTGAAAAGTATAAAACACAACATGAGACAAGTAAAAAATGGTATAAATATTTGGGACACCATGGCTACTTAGTTACTACACAGGTAGTTCTCAACTTGCGATCACAATTGAGTCCAAAACTTCTGTTGCTAAATGAGAAATTTGTTTTGCCCCATTTTACGACCTTTCTTGCCATGCTTGCTAAGTGAATCACTGCAGTTGATCAGTCAGTAACTAAGTTGTTAAATGAACCTGGCTTCCCCGTTGACTTTGCTTGTGAAATGATTGCAAAAGAGGCTCACGTGACCTTGGGACACAGCTGTAGTCATAAATAGGAACTAGTTGCCAAGCATCTGAAGTTTGTTCACATGACCATGAGGATACTGCAAAGGTCGTAATTGTGAAAACCAGTCATAAGTCATTTTCAGTGCCACCGTAACTTTTAACAGTCACTAAACGAACTGGAAGTCATCTCTCTCCCTCCCTCTGTCCCTCTCCTAATGGGTTTATGTTGTAAGCTGCTCAGAGTAGCTTTGAAATGAGATGGGCAGCAAATAAATTTAATAAATAAATAAATAAATAAATAAATAAATAAAAGACTTGACTTATGCTTGTGGAGTCCCAAGTATTTATAAGTACTACCATACAATTCTGCTTACATACAAGAATATTCCTAAATTATTTACAATTCTTATCAAATGAACAATAAATTATTTCCTCTCACTGCTGCTGAACGTCAAAAGCAAACTATTTGCTCAGAAAAGGCTGCTTTATAGGAAGCTCTTTACTGTATTTTTTTTTTCATTGCCAGTGCAGACAGTAACTAAAAGCTTTATAATTAAAAAAATATTTTTCCCTACTCTTTTCTACGTGTCTATTGGAAAAAGCTTCAGGGATGATATAGGACAACAATATGATTTTCATACCTGACATATTTGGAAGTTGGAGGGCGCAAGCTGTGAATTGTTGCCATTCCTGATGAAATGTACCGGTCTCTTCTTCTCTCAATCCGACGCACATTCACAAAATCTCTTGATTTGTAAAGAGAGCACATATGAAACATCAGTTCACTGAAATGAAATGGATAGTGAAAAATATAGTTTGAATTAGAACTTACCTAGGAGAGACAACACCAGCTGCGGCACCAGCTGCCACATCATAGGATACAGTTGTGTTATCATCAATCCGTTCCAAGATCTGGTAAGAAAACAGAAGGTTTTCCCACTTCTGCCAACATAAGCTAGTTTAGAAAATTTCCTTGGCATGATTTCTTTGTAAACCACCTTTGACTTGTGAAGAAATCAGAACAATGATGATTAATTTCAGATATGTTCACAAAATTAACTTCCATATTTACACTGAGTAAAACAATACCACTGATTGGTACTGCAAACATTCATATATTTAATCTGGTAACAGAATAAATTCTGAATCAATATATTTGAAGAGCACAAGACAAAGGAAAAACATTAAGCGTTGTCATTAAATAAAGCAGAAAAATACTTGCTGTTGGCAGAAACCAATGGATAGAAAATGAAAACTAAGTAGCAAATCCTGGGTAACTCTGTAGCATTTCAAAGATCCTCTTATTTTATAAATAGTATAAATATTTATTCTATTTATTTTTAAAATTATACATTATGCATTAATTCAGTGGGGGATCTATGTTTTTAAGCCTTTCAATCCTAATGCTCAGGCAAGTGGCATCAAAAGTGTCTTTAGTGTAGTCTTCCGGTTTGAGTCTTTTCGGCAACAACCCAAAATTCGTGATTGTGCGCAGTTTCGATCTGTGCTTGCCGCCAGAGCGCTCCGAGACAGCTGATTTCGGGGCTAAGCCACCCCGTAGAGGTAGTGAAGAAGGGGGAGATTGCCAGCAGGGTTGAGGAGAGCCGCATCTCTTTTCCCCAGCTGGCCATTACTCCCTTTCCCGAAGGCGGTTGCAGCGGTGGTCAGAAATCGCCACCTCATAGAAGAACTGAACTGGAAAAGAATGTGCAGGAGGAAGATACGAAGAGAAAGTTTTGGTTGACCGGGTTAAACCGAAAAAGCAATAATGTAAGGTAACCTGGAATTTAAATTAAATAACATTGTTCCCAAAGAAGATTTTGAAGCTGCGAAGGAGAGAGAGAAGGGAAAGGATTAGTTTTTTTTTTCTTCACTTCCTTATACTGATAGCTAAGAGACTTAAGCAAGAAATTGAAAAAAATCCACTTTGACATTAATAGGCATCTAAGCTGAAAATAAAAGTCAAAGGGATAATAAAGATTTCTGGATATTTAAAAGTTTTTAAAAGCAGGAAAGAAGGAAAAAAAAGAATAAAAGGGCAGGATCTGGAAAAATAGAGGAGACTGCCTGGAACTAGGGAATGGAACTGTAACTAAAAGGAACTTTTAGTGCAATTTTAACAAGATTCCTCAAGTATACATTTTAACTGAAACTTGGTAACAAAATAATAGAACCCCAGGAAGAGAAAGTGGAAAAAAGAAGCAAGAAGAAACAGCCCTAGATTATTTGGATTACTTGGTGATTTTTGATTTTTGCATCTAGATGACTAAAATTAACCAGGTGGTTGTTTAAAAGTCTTTAAAATGGTATCACTCTTAGAAGAACTGAAAATGGAACTTAAAAAATGGAAAGAAGATGCACAAGAAGGGAGAGGTTCTTTTGGCTTCGTATTTCAATTCTTAGAAATGGAGATCTGGAACTATGAGCAACAACAAGAAACACTTGCAGAACAAGAAGATTGGGACAAAGAAGAAGCCATCTTTAATGATCAAATAATTTTAAGTGGGGGGGGGAAGAAAAGGTGGGAAAGAGAGTGAAAGGTTTAAGACTAGAAAAAACAACCAAAAAGAAGAACAATTTTAAAGATAAGTATAATATTAGAAAGCAACAGAAGAGGGGATTACAGATGAGAGAGTTAGAAGTAGAGATACGAGGGGGTAAAAAGGGAAGGGAGAGAAGAGGGGGAAGAAGGCAAGGAAAAGAAGTTGTAAAAGACAGAAACAAGAAATAGAGAAACAGGGAAAAGATATAAGGATTGTAACCATAAGATTGTTTAGAGATAATGGGTGAAAATTTAATTGTAAAAGGGATTCTGCAAAGGTACATAAGATAGCATTGTTATATTACAAACAGAAATAATTTTAGAAAATATGACTAAAATGATGGATAAATATTTACTGTTATGTAATGGAATGTTTGTTAATAAATGAATTAAAGTGATTGAGAGAATTAAATGGGAACATTTTAATTATTAGTAATGATTTATATAAAATATAAGTGAGAAATATGAAAAAAAAAGAATTAACTATGGAAAGTTTATAAGCGTTCCCAAGGAAGTATGATATTTAATTGAAAAGAAATGTTAAAGATGTTAAGATTTTAATGAATATTAATGATAGAATTGAATTGGAATGGAATGTGTGTTTTATTTAAATATATATTTAAATAAATATATATATATTTCTTTTTAAGAATATAGTGTGTATTTTAAGAAAAGTGTCTTTAGCAAACAAAAGGATGAGTAAGTATGCTGAATTCTGATTTATAACTATTGAAAAGAAAAACTCAAAATAACATAAGAAACCCAACAGTTTAGAAATCACGCTTCTACCTCTCTGTCATTTCCTGAAGATAACAGTTCATAGCAAGAAGAGCCATAATTTTAGCTTGGGGTATTAGAGAGATAAGAATAATCAATACTACAAATAATGTTAGTGATAAGTGAAGAATAGCTTTCTGTCTGGAAAGACTTACGTGGCATGCTAGCAAAGTTTTATTCCATAAGACCATCTTCTCTGGTTGGAGAATCAGCTCCTGGTATACTATCTCAGCTGGACATTGCAGAATAGCCTGCAAATGAGGGACACAGGTTACATTACAGAGCCTCTTCCCCGAGAAACAGTTGTAACAAGGGTAACTAACATTAACCAGTCAATGGAAATTGAAGGATGAGCTTAAACACCCCAACATCTCATTTAATGGCATATCCTCAACACTCACTAAAGCAATAATTAAAACAAATATTCATTTGAGAATACTGTGATGCTCAGAGGTTGTTGGGTTCCAATTCCCTATCATCCCTAACTGATAGTCATGTCAGCCAGGTCTGATGGGAATTGAAATGCATCCATATTCCAATTTAAAATCTGTCAAACAAAGAACATCACTGGGAGAAGTGCTAGAAAGAATGAAATACCAGCTAGACACAAAAAATAAATATGTATAGCACAGGGTGGCAAGAAATCACCCCACAGTAATTTCCCCTCCAGTTACTCAAAAAGCATCCCTTTCAAAACATGGATTGTGTCTGCCCATCTCTACTCCCTCCATTTTCAACAAAAGGTGTAGAAAAGGAAAGATGTCTGGGAAGCTTGGAAGGAAGCTGAAAGGCACCTTACCTTTAGGACGAAAACCTTGCCATAGAATGGCATTTCGAGAAAATGAATTGTATCCCCAAAGTCCTGCACAAGAAGTATTAAAGTCACAAGAATTCAACATTTGTTCTTTTACTGTCTTATGAAAATTTCCAGCATTGCAGCAGTCCCCCCACATCCATCACTTTTTATTAACTGGGGTGGCCCCAAGGTTAAATAGCAGGCAATCCCATACTAGCTTGTCTATCTGATTCACCAGCCGCCAGCCTAACAACTTCCACCGCTTCTATAAATTATCTAGTCCAGCAAGCACCCAGGACAGTTACACCAGTTGAGAGTGAAGCCACCAAGAAGCCTCTTAGTATATGCCCTGGCTGGCCTGATTTGGCACACAGTTGGACTACTTAAGACAGTACTCTTGGTTAATCTCAGAGGCTATAGTGGCTCAACAGAAGTTAAAAAAAAAAGACAGGGACTAGGTGTAACTATTTAAACTATGACTTAGTGGATATAAAATGCCAGGGTTTTGAGAAGTAAAAAAAACCCCAGATCAAAATAAATCGCTTTAGAATTTTTTCCACTTCTAATATAACATATAAGTTCTACAAGTCAATTAAAAAACAAGCTGAAATCTTTCAGGTGAAAAAAACAATAAACTTACAAATATGTGGTTGCGTAAGTGTGTATACCCTTTAAATTAACACTTTGTTGAAACACGTTTTGATTTTATGACAGCATTCAGTCATAAAGGACAGCATTCTGCAGTAGGAGCCCATCAGCATGGCACATCTTACCTTGGGAATCTTTACCCGCTCTTCCTTGAAAAAGTTCCGAATCTGTTAGATTGCAAGGGCATCTCCTGTGCAGAGCCCTCTTCAGATCCCCTACAGATTTTCAATTGGATTCAGATCTGGGCTCTGGATGGACTATTCCAAAACTTTAGTTTTCTTCTAGTGAAGCCATTGTTTTGTTGATTTGGAGATACTCTGACTCATTGTAAAGGTGATATTTCTCTTCGTCTTCAGCATTTTAGCAAAAGCCTGAAGGCTCTGCTGCCACCTTCATGCTTCACTGTGTGGTATGGTGTATTATTGGTAGTGCAGTGTTGTTTTTTGCACCAAACATACTTTTTGGAACTATGGACATAAAATTTACAGCCTTGGTCTCCTCAGACCATAACACATTTTCCCACATGCTTTTGTCAGACTTAATGTACTGTAGTTTTGAAAAATATAGCCAGGCTTGGATATTTTTCTTTGTAAGAAAAGGCTTCTGTCTTGCCACCCCACAACCCAGACATATGACAAATATGGGAGATGGTTGTCATATGTATTACACAACCAATCCTTGTCAGAAATTCCTGTAGCTCCTTTAATCCTGCTGTAGGTCTCTTGGCAGCGCTTCAGACTAGTTTTCTTCAATTTTGGAGGGACATCCAGTTCTTGGTAACATCACTGCTGTGCCATATTTTTTCCACTTGTTGATGACAGTCTTCACTGAGTCCCATAGTCTATTGAATGCCTGGAATTTTTTTTGAACTCTCGTCCTGACTGATACCGTCCAATAATGAAATCTCTTCAATCTATTGTAATTGGAGGGTATGGTTCTGGCTGTAAGAGGCAACTGAGTAAATTCAGAAAAATCCTAGCAGAACAGCTAAACCTTATATGGGCTTGATCAGAGCAATTTTAATTGATGACAGATGTGTATTGACTACTATTTAATATCTGTTTGAATACTGGTTAATTCTAAACACAGCCACATCCCTACTTATAAAAAGGCATATAAAAACATATTTTATAAGTTTTTAAGGTTTTTTTCTTCCTCAAAGACTTCAGTGTGTTTAGGGGGGGCGGAGCTGGCATTGCGACGATACGGCATGCGATCTTGGAGGTCTGAGATCGCTGCCGATATCTTTGCTCCTGGATGGTCCAAGTGGATCTAAACCGTCCCAAAAAGACAGTGAATGTAAAGAGCGCATCCTGTCGATCCTAGGGATATCGCAAAGTCCCTGGTAGATCCAGGAGAAGCTCTTTTTGCCAGCGGCAAAGCGGCAGCCATTAATGTTGCTGAAGTTGGGACAGCTCCTAAACGAAAGAGAATGAAAGAGAAAGTGTGCCGGTTTGGTGAGAACTTTTCTTTATTTAAAGATTTGAGAGGACACCCTAAGGGAAAGAAAGAATCTGTAAAAGTTTTTTGACAGAAGTGAATAAGCGGCAATTTTAAACAGGAATGTCCAAGTAATATTTTTATTTTTTTTCTTATTGCTGATGATCCTATATTTCAAAACTGGACTGGTTTTTTCCTTTTTTTTTAATCTACTCTTTTCTTCCCCCCTTTTGATTTTATAATATATTAAGCCAGAGACTCCCTTTTAGTCTTTTTTAAAAATATTTTCTTCCTTTTTTAACTAATTCTTATTATACTCTGCCAGAAAAGGAGGGGGAAAGTAAAAGCTAAAGAAACTTTGTAACACTGCCAACTAGAGGCTTGGAAATACTCTACTTTTCCTTTGACCAGACAAAGCTGAGAAAGAATTGAGACTTTCAAGAACACTGCCTGTTTGATAAGATAGAGGGAAGAGCATGGGAGAGTATTATTGCAGGTGCTCTTCTGGGTTTCTATCAACAGCTAGAATCTGGTGTTGAAACCTAGGGGAAAAAAGGTGATAAGTTTTTGGAGAAGAGAGTTATAATAAGAGCCGTGGATAATTAAACAAAGTGCAGTGTACTCTTCTTACTTTTTCTAAGTTGTGCTATCCCTCCTCACCAGCTTTATTTTATTTCATTTTATCTTTTTCTTTTTTTGCAATAGCTATTTGGATCTTTGGCTTTGTTGGAGCTTGTCTTTGTTTTTCTTTTCCTTTGGAAGTCCAATCTCTACGCTTGCTTTTTATTTTAAAGGGAAAGCTTTAGTATTAATGTTTCCTTTTTTTTTTTTAAGGGAATAGCCTTTTTTTTCTCCTTTCCTGGTATTTTTGTTTTTTCATCTACCCTTCTGGTTTATTTTTATGCACTCTTTTCTATTTGAGACCTCTCAATCGGATTAAGGTGTTGAAGAACCTGAAGAATTTTTCCTTTCCTTTTTTTTTCAAGCCTTTTTCTTCATCTAACCACCGATTGGATTAAGGTATACAAAAACCTGAAGAAATTTTGTCCTCCTTTTCTTCTTCTTCTTTTTTTTATCATTACTATTTGGCTTCTTTTTTCTACTATTTTTATTTCGAACTACAATTGGTTATTTCACAATTGGATTAAGGTTTAGAAGAACCTGAAGATTTTGAATTGCTTAAAATGAGTAGGAAACTAACAGCTCCTGGTTCTTCAACTTCTACTTCCTCCTCTCCACCATCTGGAGGACAACGTTCAAAACAGACAATGTTAAAGCAGGAAAAAGAACAAGAAAAAGTGATTCTGCAGATGATTATGCAAGGAATTCAAAATATTCAAGCAAGATCAGAGAATATTGAAAAGAGAATAGAGAACATTGAACAAAGAACAGGGAAAACCGATGAAAAAGTGGAGAACATCCAACAAATGATGTTGAAGTATGATGAGAGATTCCAAAAAATTGAAGAAGATAAACAAAGAGACAAGAAGATTGGAGATACTGATAATAGATTAACGGTGATTGAACAAGATAAAAGTGGTATGTTGAGATAGGAGATGGATAGATCAGAATTCTATCTTAGATTCCAAAATGTAGAGGAAGAAAAAGGACAAAACTTAGCTGAGATAATGATAGAAATATTGGCTGAAGCTTTGGAAATAACTCAAGAGAAGATGATGGATGGAATAGATGAGATTTATCGAGTTTTCACAAGATATGCGATGAGAAATAGCTTACCAAGAGAAATTCACATTAGATTTACAAAGAAAGCCATTAAAATGCAAATATTGCAAGCGGCAAAAGAGAAAACATTGAAATATAAAGACAAGGAGATTGTGGTCTTGAAACAAATACCCAGAAGAGTGAGAGAGATGAGAAGAAAATACCGATTCTTGACTAAAATACTACTTAAAAAAGAGGTGAATTATAGATGGCTGATTCCAGAAGGTTTAATGTTCACATGGCAAGAACAGAGACATAGAATTGACTCAATTGAGAAAGTGGAATTATTTTATACAGAATTTTTGGGAGGGAAAGAGGAAGAGGCAGAAAAAGAAATCTCACTAATTGAATTCCAAGAGGACTGTCAAATGGTGATTGAAAAAGAAGGTGCAGTAGGTGGAAAGGTGGAAGCCAAGGAACAACGTGAACTAAGATCTATGAGAGCTGCTAAACCTAACTAAAAAATATAACCATGGAAGAGAAAAAACTGATTACAATTAATATAAATAGACTTAACTCAGCCGTTAAAAGAAGAAAAACCTTTCACAAATTAGAGAAATTAAAATTTGATATAATTTGTCTACAAGAAGTACATATTAAAAAACAATACGAACAATTGTTGATACAGCCAAAACTAGGGAAAATATTTACTTCCTTGACACAATGTAAGAAAAGAGGTGTGGTTTTATATACTAAAGAGACCATCCCAGCAAAATTGATTTATACCGATGATGACGGAAGAATACTAATGGTGGAAATAATGGATAATAATACGAAAACACTCCTGATTGCAATCTATGCCCCGAATGACAAGAAGAATTGTACAAAAAATTACATATGAAAGTAATTGAACTGGACTATGCTAATATAGTTATGATGGGAGATTTTAATGGAATTGTAGACCATAAATTGAACTATACAGCACAGAAAACAATAAAGCAAAACAAAAAGACTCTCCCTAAATCTTTTTTTAAAATGGTAGATGAAATAAACTTAAAAGATACATGGAGAGAAAGAAATGCTAAAACTAAACAATACACCTTCTATTCAAATAGACACTTATCATGGTCCAGAATAGATATGATATGGATGTCAACAGAATTAATAACGAATATTCAAGAAATAAATATTGAAACAAGTACTTGGGCAGATCACAATCCAATGACAATTAAATGGAAAGCACAAAAAAGAAGATCTAGATGGACGTAAAATAATACAATTTTAAAGGAAAAAGACTTCACACAGTGGATGGAGGAAGAATTGGCTTTTTTCTTTAGAGAAAACAAAAAAGAAGATACATCAATTCAGAATGTATGGGATACAGTGAAGGCATATGTTCGAGGCTTGATAATAGACTATACAAGGAAAAGAAATACTATGAAAAGATTAGCCTCTAAGGCCTTTGAGGATGGGTATAAAAGACTTGAAAAAGAGCTACAGAAAATGCCACAGAAAAAGGACATCAAGCTAAAAATGGATATAGTTAAACATAAAATGGGTCAAATAGAAAAAGAAGAATTAGCACAGAAAATTAGAGGTGCTAAACAGAACTACTTTGAAGACACAAATAAACCAGGCAGATGGTTAGCATACAAATTGAGAAAGGAGAAAGAATCAAGGAAAATATTGCAATTAACAGATGACCAAGGCCAAGTTTGCTAGAAGAAGGAAATCATTTGAGACTTCTATGGAAAACTATATATGCAAGAGAATATTGATGAGGAAAGAGTTAAACAGTACTTACAGAATGCTAGTTTACCTCAGATACCTAAAGAGATTGAAACAATGTTAGAAAGCAATATAACGATGATAGAGTTAACTGAAGCACTCAAGAAGCAAAATAATGAAAAGGCATCAGGCCCAGATGGACTTCCGGCAGAATTTTACAAAACATTACAAGAATCGTTGAATCTTCCATTGCTAGAAGTTATGAATGAAGTTATGTTAAAGAAGAAGATACCTAAATCATGGTCAGAAGCCTATATTACACTTATTCCAAAAGAGGAGGCTGATCCAATACAAATTAAGAACTATAGACCTATTTCTCTACTAAATGCAGATTATAAAATCTTTGCTTCAATATTGGCAGAAAGTCTTTAAAAAGATCTAAATAATTTTATTCATCCTGATCAAAATGGATTTCTGCCAAAGAGACAAATTAAAGATAATATGAGTAATCTTAGACACCTTGGAATACTATGAGGCACATCCTGAAAACAAATGGCTCTGATATTTCTAGATGCACAGAAGGCATTTGATAATGTGAATTGGCGATTCATGTTATTACTGCTGGAACAGATGGGCTTTGCTAGAAAATTCATCCAAGCAATAGGAGCTATATACTATAAGCAAACGGCAAAGGTAATAATAGAGGGAGAGCTGACAGACCCTATTAATATAAGAAAAGGAACAAGACACTATCACCTTTGTTGTTTGTGTTAACTTTGGAAGTGTTAAACAGAAATATTAGAGATGAAAAGAATATAAAAGGAATGAAAATCAAAAAGGAAGAATTTAAGCTGCAAGCATTTGCAGAGGATCTGGTTTTTATCTTAGAAGACCCTTTAAAACCCTTCAAAATTGATAAAAAAGATAGAGACATACAGAAAGGTGGCTGGTTTGAAAATAAAGATAAGACAAAGATTTTGACAAAGAATATGCTACTAAGACAAAAGGAAGAACTGGCAGATCTATTGAAAATTCAAGTCACGAATAAGATCAAGTACTTGGGGATATATTTGACAGCAAGATGTAGTACATTAAAAGAGAATGATTATATTAAACCTAATCAGCAGATAGCGCTAGATTTGGCGAAATGGGAAAACTTACAACTCTCACTAATAGGGAGAATCTCAACAATCAAGATGAATATATTACCCAGAATTTTATATTTGTTTCAAACAATTCCAATTAGGCTTAGAAAAGACTACTTTGAAGATTTAAATAAAATTGTGTTGAAATATATATGGCAAGGTAAGAAAGCGAGAATAAAGTTAAAACTTTTGCAAGATGCTAGAATTAGAGGAGGATTTGGTTTGCCCAATTAGGAGTTGTATTATCAAGCTACAAATCTGATGTGGGTTAAGGAATGGATAACACTAAGAAATACTAGATTGTTGACATTAGAAGGACATGATTTGTTGTTGGGGTGGCATGCTTTTTTATGGTATAAAGGAACTAAAACACAGGGATATTTTAGAAGACATTATATACGGGAGTCTCTGTGGTTAAACTGGGAGAAGATTAAAAGACAATGTTATTTGAAAATTCCAGTCTGGCTATCGACTATTGAAGTCGATATCGACTATTCTTATCCTATAATATACAAAAAGGAACAAACAGTTAGATATGGTGAAATATTGAATGGAAAGGGTGAACTCCAATCTATACAAAAACTAGAGGAACAAGGTATAAAGATGAATTGGTTTTCATGTGCGCAAATACATTCAAGGTATGATAAAGATTCTAAAATGGAAGGTTTCTGTGATAAATTGACTGATTTAGATAAGATGTTGACAGGTACTGATGAAAAGGTGATTAAAATATTGTATGGATATTTATTAGAAATTAAATTAGAAGAACAAGTTAAAAAAACTATGATTGCTTGGGGGAAGAATTTTGGATATGGGATTGATTTAGGGAAATGGCAAAAATTGTGGTCTCAAAATTATAAAATGACAATGTCAACAGCATATAAAGAAAATTTGTATAAGATGTTTTACAGGTGGCATTTCCCCCCGACAAGAATAGCAAGAATGTTCAAGAATAAATCCGAAAAATGTTGGAAATGTCATCAGACACCTGGCTCATATGTAGTGGACTTGTGCGGATGCTAAAAAATACTGGACTAAAATCCACATGTGGTTGGAAAAAATGACAAAAAAATATGTAGATTTGAAACCAGTGATATTTTTATTGGGAATTTATCTGAAATATATAGTAAAGACTTGAAATATCTGATTGTAAATGTATTAACAGCAGTTAGGATTGTATTTGCCAAAAACTGGAAAAATGAGAAAACATCATCACAGGAGGAAATTATTAAGAAAATATTGGAATGTGCTGAAATGAGTAGATTGACATTTGAAATTAGAGAACAAGGGGATAAACAATTTTATAAAATTTGGGATCTATTCTATCAATGGTTAGACAATAAAATACAATAATGAAATATGTAGACTTTTAGAAAATAATAAATATATAAAGATGTACTTCTTTCTTATATCTACAAAATGATTTTAGGATAGATTTGGGATGATAATATGAACTGTTATAAAACAAACTAAATAAATTATGATTATCTTGTAAAACATGAATGAATAAAAGTATAGTCAAATGATTGATTAATAATGATACTAAGGTATTTAATTTTTGATTTAAAATACGAGATTATATGCAATGTAATTGCAATTGAAGACGAAGAAATGGAAGCACAAAACAATTTGTAAACCAACCGGCACACTGTATGTACACACATGGAAGATGGCCTGTTTTTATGTTTTGTTTGTTTGTTTGTTTTTAAAAATCAATAAAAAAATTTTTTTTAAAAGACTTCAGTGTGTTTTTCAATTGAATTGTACAGCCTATATATTGTATTCAGGGTGGAAAAAACTCTCAAGTGAAATCTTCATCTTCTTTTACATCTCCAAAACCTGACATTTTAACAAAGGTGTATAGATTTTTTATATACACGTTTGGTACAAATGAATCAACTGTGACTGTTAACCAATTATATATTGTATATCTCTGATGTTGCAGTGGTTAGCATGCAGCATTGCAGGAAATTTCGCCCACAGCCCGGAGTTCGATCCTGACCCGTTCAAGGTTGACTCATCTTTCCATCTTTCCAAAGTTGGTAAAATGAGGACCCAGTAATATGCTGACATTATAAACCACTCAGAGAGTATTATAAAACATTATGAAGTGGTATATAAATCTAAGTGCTATTGCTACTGCTATCCTTATTTTGCTTTGATAAATATTGGATAGGGGAAGATTACAAGTGGTTATGCTCAGATTTTACTCGTGCAAAACGGAATCCTACAAAAGCCTTACATGAAATCCTATACTCTACACAAGCATTTTCTCCCCTGTGGTACAACTGATGGGCCTCCATGATCTAGCGTCTTCCCTTTCTCTTCTCAATTGCTGCCTCCTGGTGCTGAGCAGCAACTGGAAAGAAAATTTGCCTCCCTCAAATTATTCAGGCTTATTCAGTAGGTCCTCATTATTATCATTTTCAAACTAAATTTTGCTCTATAGCAAAAAAAAAAAAAACCCTGCATAAAAACTGAAACCAAAGAGACAGGAGGATATCAGGTCCTTATTAAAACTTATGAGAGGTTTCAATGCAAGAATGGTAAAGAAATCATCCTGCACTAAATAATACCATAGCAATACAGGGAGCATCAGGAACCTTTGATACCAGAAAGTATCAGAAAACTTCAGTGCTGCTTTTTTTTTAAATCAAACAGTGCCATTTCCAGGTGACATGACTGGTTGTAGGATTTCTAGCCAGCAGTCACTCAGAACTGTAAACTTACTGTGCATTTCTCAAAAATCCAGTTTTCTTCTTGGGCTAAGATCTGATCCATCACCTCCATTGCTACTTTGCCTTGCCGGACATATTCTCTCTCCTAGGCCAATATATGAAACACAGCTTAGCAACACATAATTCACTTTATATCCAGCGGATACCGATATCTCAAGTTCATTAGATCAAGACTTAATTTAATCTACTTTGATGGAAGGAGATACTCTTGGCTACACACAGCACCAACCAGACTTCCCTTCATTTACCATCTGCACTCTGTATACTTCCCATGCTGCTCCTGTGGGTCAAAGTGATCAAATTCTACGACAGGTGCCATTTCAGGGTGAATTAAAGAAGAAACTCTGTTTACCATTGAATCAGTATAAAATCAGCTTTCTTGAAAACAAGAACATAGAACGATAGTGGAAGGGACCTTGGAAGCCTTCTAGTCCAATATAGGAGACCCTATATTATTTCAGACAAATGGTTTCCCAGTCTCTTTTTGAAAGCCTTCAGTGATAGATCACCCACAAGGCAAGCTATTCCATGGTTAATTGCTCTCAAGGTCAGGAAATTTCTCCTAAGTTCTAGGTCGCTTCTCTCCTTGGCTAGTTTCTAACGATTGTTTCTTCTTTTGGAAAATAGTTTGATCCCCTTGTCTTTGTAGGAGTCCCTCAAATATTGGAAAAGTGCTATCATATTCCCCCTAGTTCTTTTCATTACACTAGACATACCTGATTCCTGTTAATTGTTCTTTGTATGTTTTAGCCTCCAGCCCCCTAATCTTTTTTTTTCTTTTTTTCTTTTCTCTGTACTCGTTCCAGAGTCTCAACATCTTTTTTGTATTGTGGTGACCAGAACTGGATGCAATATTCCAAGTGTGGTCTTACTAAGGCTTTGTAAACTGGTACTAGAACTCCATGTGATCTTGATTCTATTCCTCTGTTGATGCAGCCTAGGACTGCGTTGGCTTTTTTGGCTGCCTGCTGCACAGCTTGGTTCATATTCATATTCAATTCAGTGATTGTTTACAAGGACTCCAAGATCCCTCTCACAGTTACTGACATTAAGCTACATTTCACCTAGTCTATACTTATACAGTTGGTTTTCCTTACCTAAATGTAAAACCTTATTTTTATTTCCATTGAATTTCATTTTGTTAGACAGGGCCCAGTCCAAGTCTGTCAAAATCTTTCTGGATCTTAAGCTTGTCTTCTGGGGTGTTGGCTATTCCTACTAGCCTAGTGGCATCTGCAAATTTGATAAGTTCTCCTTCAATTCCCTCATCTAGATCATTTATGAAGATATTGAAGAATACTGGGCCTAAAACGGAACTATGGGGTACCCTACTGCTTACTTCCCTCCATAAGGATGTAGTTTTGTTGAGGACTACACATTGAGTACAATTTGTCAGCCAGTTTCACACCTTGTGGTGGTGCTGCTGTCTATCCCACATTTTAGTAGCTTTCCAAGAAGTAGGTTGTAGTCTACTTTATCAAATGTTTATTGAAATTTAAGTATACTATGACAACAGCATTTCACTGATTTAGTCATTGTTGAAGAACAATTTAATCATTGTTGAAGAACAAAATAAGGTTGGGCATGATCTTTTTTTGACCAACCCATATTGACTACTGGTTATAATCTAGTTTGCTTCTAGATGTTCACAGATTTATTGCTTATTTTTTCCAATATCTTCCCAAGTATTGATGTCAGACTGATTAGTCTTAGCAATTAGGTATTTGAGTGGCTTTATGGAGTTACACAGTGAGGATAGTTTGCAAACACTGCTCATTCTTCTTGTCTCTCCTGGTTGGTTATTTTTTTTAACCTTTGGTGGGGAAGAACCAAGCTGCCCAGACTATAAATTTAATAAATAAAAACTTTATACTTATTCTAAGTTATACATAACAGATTTGTTGTATTTTTCATTTACAAATAGCCAAATTTTACCCCAAATTCAAACTGAATTTAAGGACAATCTCTCTTCCTTCATCCTTCCCCCAGGTCATATTAGAAAAAAAAGTCTTCTTCATTTTCAGTGAGTTGTATATTTGTTGATTTTCAGCAATCTTTCCACAAATATTCAATAATACTGTCTGAAGAGGCTTGAAAGACTTGAAAAGTATTCTGGATTTTATGTGGTTTCCAAGCTTCACAACATTTTTTTTATCATATAAATATACCCAAACAGGTGTACTGTTACTTTAAATATTTTAGTTATTGCAAAACCTTTTAAATACAAGTGGGAGGTCCCTTAGAAACAAAACAGAAACTCTTAATCATATGATCAGTTTAAATATTACAGCCCTAGTTGCATGTCTTACATGTCTGAACTTTAAAAAAGTTCAGGTATCACACCTACTGCTGCAACAATAAAACTGAATAAGCAAATTCAGCCTTTATGCCGCACCCTTTTTTCAAAAGCTACCACTCCCAATCTAAATCAGCATCGGCCTACCATGTCTGCTGTTTTATTTCTCCCAATACAAAAAATAAAATTAAATTAAAAAAACTATTACTCATTCAGGGAAGCAAATATAAATTGTTTGTCCATAACATAACAGACCAGCATGCTACTATTGTACTAAAAACAATGGGCTTATGGAGCTTCTTTGAGATAGTTGATATAAAATATTAGACAGAATAATCCTGCCCCCTGGTGGATAGGAAGAAACAAGAACAAGAGATAAGTGGATTTTTCTAATAAGTCTAGGATAGACATGTCCAAACCGCGTTCCGTTATGTGCCCAGTACAACTAGCAATGTGGCCCCACAAGATCATAAACTTTTAACATGATTATGTGGTTTATATACATTAAGTATATTATATATTTATATGCAGCCCAAGACAATTCCTCTTCATTCAATATGGCCTAGGCTAGACTAAAAGTTGGGACACCCACAGTCTCGGATACATAGTGACTATTGAAATTTCTGCAGAAAAGATTCAATGTCTGATAAAGCTTTGTTTCATGCTGTGCTCTAGGGAAGCATATTCATCAAACAACAGAAGAGATTTCAGATTTTTCTGAAAGCCATGGATTTCTCAAGGAGGTAAGATACTACCCTACTTACAAAATTTGTATGAATTTAACATAAATAAAATATAATTTTAATATACTGTTTGCATACACCTACATGAAACAATTGCACATTTGATACATGCAGTTATAGAACTTCTGATCACTGCAACTATTCTGGAAGATATTCCAGACACGGAGTTTGGATAAACATCTGTGATAAGTGCTGAGATATTTTTGAACAGAAACTATGGAGTACATTTGAGCACCTGTCCTGGGAAATATTTCCTTGGATATTTTAAAAACCCATCACATTTCTAGCTGTATGTGAATTGAAAAGATGAGCAAAGGGATTTAGTACACCTTCAAAGTAGAATAGATGGATGGGTAAGGTGGCATTGCTAAATGACACTTGATTCTTTTCTATTACGATTATGGGTGGCTGCCCACTATTGTACTCGTTTAGACTAATCTTTTGCTTATTCTTTATTGCAATTTAGACAGGACACCTGACAGAAAAGCAAATAGATTTGTTCTAAAGAATAGTAGCATGCATTATATTATATGAAAACAGAAAAATATAACCGAATATATGACAGCCCCCAAAGGATTCTGCTATATTGAGGCATACCTCATCAGTTACCGCCCTTTTCCCCATAACTTCATCATCTGACTCATCCGATCCTGCATTAGAGAGGGGAAAAAAATGTACAAGTTTGAATATGACTTTTAGAAGTATTACGTGTAAAGTAGGAAGAAGCATTTCTAGCTCTGGAATTCCTTGATAAAAACAAACCATTCAGGGAAAAAGTAAAACAAAACAGGAAATGCTAGATATTTTCTCTTATGTATTCTAAATATTTAAATTCCAGTTTTGGTTACTCGGTCAGGAGTTTCTTTTAGAACATGTTGAGGTATAAAAACTGCTAACTCTAAGGAAAACTAATCCTTCTCATTTCTGTATGAATTAATGGCTTGTCTTACAACTGGAAAAAGGCAGTCCTAAAATGTGATTCATATAAAGCAGTGGCCCCCAACCTTTTTTGTGCCACGGCCCGGTACCGGCATCACAAAATGATCCGCGGCCTGGTACCGGCATCAGCACGCATGACAAGGCAAGGCGAGCCGAGCGACCGGCCAGCCAGCCGTTCCCCGCTTCTCCCCACCATCTTCAACTCCTCCTTTGTACCTTTGTCGATGGGCTTCGCTTCGGGACGGCTTCGGGACGGTCGCTCGGCTCGCCTTGCCTTGGGTGCTGAAAGAATCCTCGCGCCTTAGTTTCGTTCGAAGCCCCCCCCCCCTTCGATGAAACTAAGGTGCGAGGATTCCTTCAGGACCCAAACGCCACTTTCCAACCGGAAAAGCTCACCCGGAAGCACTTTCTCATCAAACAAGATGGCGGCGCCCAGCAAACCGGTGGCCCGGTAGGAAATGTCCCACGGACCGGTATTGGTCCGCGGTCCGGTGGTTGGGGACCCCTGATATAAAGGAAGGAGGTTTACAGATTACATAATTCTATGCTAATTCTGCAGAACCATGAATCGAATGTTCCCATAAACATGCATCAATTTTCCCCATCTAATTCTGTTCAGGTTACGTATAATCTAGACACTAAATTATGAAAAAACCACCGGGCAATTTTCTGTGTATATAAGAATCTGGGTTCCACAGCAGACTTTACCTGCTGGAAGCACCCTAGTGCAGGGGTAGGGAAACTTAGTTCTTTTATCACTACTGGCCTACTGGTTTTTTTAGTTGTGGGGGAAATCAATTTTTGACTTGAATGTCCTACATTTGTATATTAAACAGTCCCGTTCAAGTCAAAAATCGATTTCCCCCGCAACTGAAAAATCAGTAGGCCAGGGATGGGGAACCTTTTATGGCTCACTCAGGAATTCTGGAAGCTGAAGTCCATAAGTGATAAAAGAGCCAAGTTTCCCTACCCCTGCCCTAGTGCATTAGGGAACAGTTGCTAAAACATATCCAAGGTATACAAACCTATGCCCTTTTATGTCTGCGCCTTCTTTTTATAAACAGAGAAGTGAAAGAGCCTTGTCATATTTGTGTCAGCTACTAAAACAAAAGGGACTGCAGTTCACCACAGAGAAATTATGTTAATATCATGTGTGAATTTATAACTTCTATGTTCTCCTTCAGGCCAATTCTTAAACTCATCATATAAAAGGTTGGTTGGCAACTGTTTGAGAGGAAGAAAGTCACCTGCAACAGATTCTGGAGGAGAGTAGAATTGGCCATCTGAAAGTGCTCCTGAGTAAAAGAGTGGTCCTCGAGACATAGCAGCCTGAGCTGCCACATACCCTGAAAAGAAAAAAAGGGAAGAGAAAAGAGAAAACATTGGTTGGCTTAGTCAATGTGAAACTTACTGCCTAGTCTACATAATACAGGTAGTCCTCAACTTACATCCACAATTGAGCCCAAAAATTATGATGTTGAGATATTTGTTAAGTGAGTTTGCTCCATTTTATGACTTTTCTCGCCATTTGTCAAGCGAATCACTGCAGTTCTTAAATGAGTAACATTGTTGTTAAGTGAATCTAGTTTCCCCACTGGCTTTGCTTGTCAGAAGGTCAGGACACTGCAACCATCATAAATGTGAACCAGTTGTCAAGCATCCAAATATAAATCACGTGACCATGGGGATGTGGCAACGGTCGTAAGTGTGAAAAGTGGTCACAAGTCATTTTTTTCAATGCTGTTGTAACTTTAAACAGTCAGTAAATGAACTATTGTAAGTCGAGAACTGCCTGTATATGACATGAGAAAGCCTACTGAATGCAAGGGAAAATGACGTTTGAAAAAAGTGAGCAATCTTCATAGAAATTAGACGATTTCACAAACTGGGACTATAACTTTCACTGAAGTACCGGTGAGACTAAAAGACTTGGAAAGGTTGATCAATTGTTCATTCTTCACTGGTGAGAAAGATTAAAAATCTAAAGCCTAATTAGGAGAGACTGGTCTAATGAAAGACTGACTTGGCCTTCATGGAAGATCTATCTGTGTAAGAATAAAAATTAAATCAGAGTGGAAACTGCAATTTTGTTCTTTCAATTCAGATTAGCAAACACTTGGTGATGAAGAGTTTTAGGAAAACATAGTGGTCTGGCTGGCTGTTCACTATCTAGCAATTGAGCAATTCTGCATCCTGTCAAGCAATAGTTCACATGATGACTCTATCATCAGAGTGAAAGTTACTATGAATGTTTTTTTAAGTGCCTCATAATGAAACACATACCAGTTCTTTATTTTCCAACAATTTTTTGGATTTATTTCTCAAATGTATATATCAGAATCCAAAAATCCCTGCTGGTACTGGATTGGTTAGACTAAATATTACCTCCAAAGGATAGGTACAATTTTAAAACCAGGCCTCTCTATTTCTAATACAAACTAGAAATTGTCACCAGCATACTTTTGGGGTGTTAATAGAATGAGAGCCAAACATACGGCCGACTCCAATATCACATACTAAAATCCCCAGTCTTTCTTCTAGAATCCCAGTCTGGATTTCATGATTATTGAACAGTATTTTAAAAAGTTGCCAGCCACTAACTCATCTGCATTGCAAATAACTGCAAATCATAACCACAACATCAAAGTCACATAAAAATCTAATTACATCAGAGCAGATCATGAACCTGTAGATTCTGCTGGACAACCAAGCAATTCTTTGTAGTATGTTTGGATTCAGAAAAGCAGATTTTGCTTTTGTGTAGCAGCAGGCCAAACTATCATAACTTTTCAGCTTAGTCTATAAATGCCTCACCAAGAAAGCTGATAACACTATTTTAATAGGTAGAAGAGCAGCTTTATTTGACACACCGCTCTCACTGGATAAGCAGACTCACATTGTTCTTCCTCTATCTCCTGTGGCAAGACTTTGAAATCCAAGAACCATGTTTCTAACCAGGCAAGAACAAAGGAAACAATGGGTAGGAGGTAGCCAAATGCCCCTTTGGTCAGCAGCTGTTGTATAAAGACAGAAAAAAGGAGAGAAGTTTCAAGGTACATATTGGAGATCACTTAACATTTATTAGAGCCTTCCAGTTGGAACGGATCTATAACCTTCATACATTTCAGGCATATGACCCCTGACTACAGCTAAACTTCATATAGTGACCACCTCATTTAGCTGTTATGATGGTGATGAAAACGTTACTATACAATCAACCCTTGTATTTATGATCTTTACAAGTTTGCTAAGGGAAGCTGAAATAAGATCATAAGCCTCACTGCAGTTCCACATAATAGTCTCAATTTTAATCACTAAATGCAAACTACCTGCAGTGTATGGGAATTACAGCCAACACATTTGGTGGGTGTTAGCTTAACAAAGGTCAATATATTCAGTATTCCTTAAAGACTATTATGCACCATCTTGGAAGATCAGCTGTTATGGATAAAGTACTTTATTTGTAAGCATACTTCTGCACCTTCACCATTACCATCACTGGAATTTTAATGGTGAACTAAATTCCCATGAGTTAATACGGGATATTTTAATCTGCTCCAACCATTAAAAAGGTGGCTGCAAAATTTCAGATAGAACCTATTTTTTCATGAACTCACATCTGAGAAGATAACTTTCACTATCAGGAAAGTGCTGCACACCAATGTAGTGATCTTGGGGGTGAAGAGGAAAGAGGGAGAAAGAAAAAAGAAGATCCATTAACAAGAGCAGCTTGGGAAGATGCAAAGTTACATAATTAAACATATATTTTATAAAGAATTTTCTCTTACCGCTATGACCCACCAATGACGGAGTTTAAAAACAGCATATGCAAGAAGTAGCACCGAGAACCGGAAAAAAGCCAAGAGCTAATAAAAATATATATACAATATATTTATGAACAATGATGAAGTTCTGAGAAATACAAAACAACACAATTATTTCTGAGTGAAATAAATTAACAGAAAACTATGAAAACTGCTGGCAATGTAGGAAGATTTTTAGAGACTGAAAAATATTTCTCCAAAATGCTACAGCTGACATGTTTTTTAATAGCCCTGTGAATTATTTAGCAATAATTTGCCCTGACAAAAAGAAAAGCCTCCATTTAAAAAAAAAAGACAATTGCAACAGAATACTTACAAATATGTCAAAAAAGGATGTTTTAAACTTGTAGTGGATGACTTCTTCCTTTAAATTGACCTGGATACTTTTGATAGTCTGAAAGTAAATAAGATTAAAGAAAATGACATTAATAGAGTTTGATGGATAGAGAATGATTAGCTGGGATTTTACTATGAGCACTGCCCCCCTAGAGTCAGACACAACTACACAGGGGAAACCTTTACCTTTTATTTAAACTTTGTTTTTTTTTAAAAAAAATTGGTACCTCCAGGTATGGTAGACCTACAATTCCCAGAATTCAAAACCAACCAGCATAGTCTCTCATCATGCATGAACATACATCTCTGGAGACACAAGGAAAGTTTTAAGATAATGCACAATTTGTATCTTGAATACAAAACTGTTTTGAGTATAAAACCATCTGTTTTATGTTCAAAACGTAATATATGAAGCACTATTATCAGCTTGAAACATTTCCAAAATTTTTGAAAAAGCACATTTTGTATTCAAGAACAGCATTTTACACTTGAGGTATAACATTTGCTGAAGTATTATGCTTGAAATGGTTCGAAAGGCACTCCAGGAAGTTTCTTCTAGGCCAGGAGTCTGTGGACCAACATTGGTCCAGTATACCAGACCATGCAAAGAAGCGAAGCAGGTAGTACACAAAACCACAACCCCTCTGATCCATGGAAAAACCTCTCTCCATGGAACCGGACCATGGTGCCCAAAAGGTTGGGGAAGGGGCGCTGTTCTAGGTAATTTTGGATAGCTCAGAAGAATAACATATAGCACTGCAATTGGCTCCAATCCATTCTGATTTGACTCATAATTTATGTTACATATCTTTTAGTTATAAATTATTGAGAAAATTGGATATGGGTTAGTTCTACAAGAAAGGGTAGCTATAGAAGATGACCAGGGTGAGTCCAAGGGTGGGGTCAAATGCATCATCAGTTTGGAGTTACTACACCCTCATAAGAGACCTAAGTCCAGCCCTGCTGAAGTCTGTTGACTCTTATCTGGTGCCAATTTGTCTTGACTGTTAGTAGATCATGTTCTGTGTATAGGTAGCCTGAAATAAACTTTTAGTACTTTTGAACTTTATGCTAGCTCCTGATTTTTGCACCTGACAGCAGTAAGTTTAATTTGGAATGATAGTGTCTTTAGACCAGTTTATTGGGGATTTTATTGATCAGCCAAATTATGAATATAATCACTACTCTGATCCACTGAAATAGGTATAAAAGGCATTAAATAGCAATGTGAATCAACTAGCCCGCTAAAGGAAGACTAATATATTGGGCCAAATACAAATTAAGTTCACATTCAAATCGCAACAAGTTCTAGTTCAACTTGAATTCTTGTGGCAATAATTCCATCTTGAGCCATAAATAACAAGGCTCCAATCATAGTCCCAATCATAGTCCCCCCACCCTAAATGGGCGTTGGTTCTTACCTGACACACCATTTCTCTTCGAGCTGCGAGGATCATCCAGAGAGTGGGAGGTGCTTCAGTCTGCATTGCTTGTAGGCTGAGCTTAATTACTGAGGAGCGCTCCGCCCTCCATCACGTGGCTCCCTTGTAGCATTCCCCAGTTTATGTGAAGTCGAGATGGAAGAGGAAGTCGTACTCTCATCTTACTAGACTTAAGGGTTCATTGGCCGAAACAAGACCCCACCAGACGGTGAAAGAAGAAGGGTAGGGCTGGATGATCCTCGCAGCTCGAAGAGAAATGGCGTGTCAGGTAAGAACCAACGCCCATTCTCCTTAGAGCTGCTCGGATCATCCAGAGAGTGGGACATACCAAAGCTTGGCTGTCCTACGGGAGGGACTCCGTCTGGTACGGAGGTCTCCGCGGGTCCTCAAGGACTCGCTGAAGGACTCGTCTGCCAAACGAGGCCTCCGCTGAGGCAAATATGTCGATCTTAAAATGCCTAATGAAAGAAGACGGAGAGGCCCAGGTGGCGGCCCGGCAAATATCAGAGATTGGAGCTTGGGGGGCCCAAGCTGCCGAGGTAGTCGCACTTCTGGTGGAATGTGCTGTTATTCCGCTGGGAATGGCAGAGCCTGAGACAAGGAAGCCTTAGAAATAGTAGCTCTGATCCAGCGGCTGATGGTTGAAGGGGACACCTTGTGGCCCAAGTCTCGGGATGAAAGGAAAGGAATAGGGATTCGGACCTTCCAGGGGCTGGATGCGCTTAATGTAAATGCGAGGGGCACGTCTCACATCCAGGGTGTGCCAAAACGTCTCCCTCTCCCATGAGGGATTGGGGCAGAAGTTTGGGAGCATGAGTTCCTGTGCCCTGTGGGAGGTTGAGTTGACCTTGGGCAAGGAGGAAGGGTCATGTCGGAGGACCACTGGATCAGCATGGAAGATGCAAGGGTTCTTTCTCACCGACAAGGCTGCGATCTCTGAGATTCGGCGAGCTGAGGTAATGGCCACCAGGAACACGACTTTGAATGTTAAAAACTGGAGGGAGTATTTCCTGAGAGGCTCAAAGGGGTGGTTAGTAAGGGACACAAGGACCTGATTGAAGTCCCAGGTAGGATAGCGATGAACGGTTGGAGGGAACGATTAGTGGCTCCTCTGAGGAATGCCCCAATGCGAGGATGGTGGGAAAGGGAACCAAGGTTGTCACCGGCGGTGACACTTGTGAGGGCTGCAACCTGTCGCCTCAAGGTGTTAGGGGAAAGCCCCTTCTTCAGACCCTCTTGGAGGAAGTCCAAAACCCGAGCGATGGAGGGCGAAAGCGGGTTGACCTGGAATTTATGGCGCCATTTGCCGAAACTATTCCAAGTGACGTCAGATATTCAGATAGTTGAGGGCCGTCTAGTGGCTAAAAAGGGAACAATAACCTGATCAGAGAGCTTGTCGTTTCTCAGGCGGTTCCGCTCAACCTCCAAACGGCTAACTGGAGCCATTGGGGATCCGGATGTCGGAGAGGTCCCTGAGAAGGGGAGATCCTGTTCGGGGGGATTTTCCAGGGAGGGGCCGATAAGTTGTGGAGGTCCACAAACCATGGGCGTCTGAGCCAGTAGGGGGGCCACGAGAAGTAGTTCTGCCGGTTTGTGGATCAGTTTCTGAATGACTCTGGGAACTAGGGGTAATGGAGGGTATGCATATAGAAGCCCTAGGGCCAGGGACAACGGAGGGCGTTGTAATTCTTGGTCCCGTGGGAAGGGCACCCCGAGAAAAACCTTGGGAGTTGTATGGGGAGGGATGCAAAGAGGTCCCTGTCGGGAGGCCAAAGATCACGGATGCCTCCTTGACCAGAGACAGGTGGAAGCACCACTCGGACTGGTCCACCGTGGCCCTGCTTAGCCAGTTTGCTGGGTGTTTGAAACCCTGGAGATGTGATCTGCTTTGAGAGAGGGGGGAATTGCACTCCACCCAACAGCAGAGGTGCTCGGCCTCTCTCATCAACTGTATGGACTGGGACCCCCCTGCCTGTTGACGTGAGCCTTGGCGGTGATGTTGTCCGTGAATATAAGGACATGCTGCCCTCGTACCTGAGGGAGGCAGTTGCACAGGGCCAGGTGGATGGCGTGGGATTCCAACCAGTTTATACTGCATGCCCGTTCTGCCTCCAACCATCTGCCCTGTGTCGTGAGCGAGTGGATGTGAGCGCCGCATCCGGACAGGCTGGTGTCTGTGGTGAGGGTGAGGCATTGGGGCTCCTTGAAGAACTGACCCTAGTTGATGGCGGGGTTGGCCCATCAGAGGAGAGACGAGAGGACCCTTGGAGGACCCTTGACCGTAGTCTTTGTTTCTGCCCGGTCTTTTTCTTTTTTCTTTTTTTTTGGGGGGGTATGATTGACAGATTCCTGTATGCTAAGGAATCTTGCCGAGGAAAGGGAGAGCTTCCCTTTAACCATGACAAAGACGGACCCCAAGTGGGTTATCCGGTTCGATGGTAACAATAGGCTCTTTTGCCAGATTACTAGGAACCCATGGTCCTGGAGGGCAGAGAGAGAAGCTCTGGTGTCCCTCTCTGCTAGGCGTCTGGAGTGAGATAGGATGAGAATGTCATCCAGGTAGCAGTGGAGACGCACAGGAAGGTTCCTGAAGTGAGCCGCTAGGGCCGCGAAGGCCCTAGAGAAGGTTCTGGGGATGAATGCTAACCCAAGGGGAGGGCCACATATTGGCGGTGGAGATGACTGTCACAGAACCTAAGGAATCTGGAATGGGGTCGATACGCTTCCGAGGATCTATAGAAGAGAGCCAGTCCCCCTGCCTGGAGCCCAGAAGAATGGACTGTAAGGAGTGCATCTTAAACCTGCAGTGGATCAGGTAACGATTAAGCCGTTTAGGTCTAGAATTGTTCTCCATCCACTTGAGGATGGGAACCATGAAGAGGTGGGAGTAAAAACCCTGCCCTCGTTGGGAGGGTGGGATGGGTTGGATAGCGTTTATGTAGAGGAGAAGATGAAAGGCGGAAACCATCAAACTGCGTTTGGTGGGATCCCTCGAGGGGGGGGATGCCATGAAAAAGAGGGGAGTCCGAACCTGATAGTGTCCCAGGCCCAGGGTAGAAGAGTCCAATCGGACGGCGGGTTGCCTGAGGCGTCCGCCGATGGTAGGGGAGGGACGAATCAATCTTGGGCGCCGGAAGGGCTTCCCCCCTGAACCCCTGAAGGAACGCTTATAGCTGCCGCCCCTTCTGTTCCTGTCACCCAGATTGGCTTGATCCTGGGGTTGGAATGGTCGAAAGGAGAGGGGTCTTGGGTACCTGGGCGGGAAGGGAGACTGGAGAAGGGTCAGGAGGACCCTCTCCGAAATGGATGAGGGACTCTGGGTTCTGACCTCCGAAGGAGAAGGGAGAAATTTTTTCTTGCTTTGGGTCATGGCTAACGGGGGCTCCAGAGCCCTGCCGAATAGTTTGTCCCCCTTGATGGGGGCGGTGGCCAACTTAATTCTGTTTTTAATATCCGCCTGCCGGTGTTTGAGCCAGAGCAGGCGACGAGCTGTAACTTGAGAGGTTATGGCTCGGGTGGAGAGCTTAACCGTGGTAGGTGGCGTCGGCCGAGAATTCAGCCGCAGCCGTCAGGTTGGCGATGTCCTGGTGCGCCCTTGTATGGGGGGGGGAACATG